CGAGCCTTGTTTTCGTCGCGGGGGGGGGTGGCCACTGGCCACAATTTCCACTCGCAATAATTGGGCCACTGTACGGGGGTCTTCTTCCTACGTGTTATGCGATAGATGGATAGATAGCCCCGCAAAGTCAACCGTGGGAGGAGGCATGAGACGAGTGGCCTTGTTCTAGGCCGATGATTTGCGATGATTACAAGCGGGAATGTTAGGATTCCATGGCTTGTGCGTGCATGCATGCATTTCTTACTTACGGGCTTGGCTTAGGGGACACCGTTGCGCCTTAATAACGCTTTTGTAGCTAGCCGCAAATCATCACCTGTTATATTACTTACACGCAATTTGCCTGGAGGGTTGACTCCGTGGCTTGGATAGCGAAATCTCTGCTTTGCGAGAAAATAAAAATTCAAAAAAATTCCAATAATAGGGGAGGTTTCACGTGACTTTGAGATACATTGTAGATCAGAAAATGGCGCGCATACAGGATATCGTTTCGCTGGATTCGATCCTTTCGTGTGTGTTGGGGTGCAACTTGGAGGGAAGGGCTTGCTCGCCTTATCACTCTCACGGGACGGGGAGCCCATCCGCTCGGCCATCTGCGACGCAGCCGTTGGATTCGCTCCTTGTATACAGTCAATGATACGGATAGGTGGCGGAGAATGACAAACCAAAGGTTGGCTGGCTGGTCATTTAATCGATTCGAGAGCGACGAGGGCGCTTTTTCGATCATGGAATAGAAAACTCGGCTTCGCCCGCGCGCTTGATCCTCGTCTGGAGATCTCGTCTTGCTTTATTTTGTTTTCCCGGTCGTACACTGCCCACGAGCTTGCCGGCCAAGAGGCGGCCGCCACGTGGACCTTAGGGCTCCAGCGCTTTGGCGCCTTGTAGACAATGATTTGAATGGGAGCAGGGTCTACCTAGGAGAAAACTCACACACAGAGCCCATCATTCATCACTCCAAAAATCATCCTGTTTTTGTTTGATGGTGGTCTTTTTGAAAACAACTCCATCCTCGTTTTAGTTGGTGTGTGTGTGTGTGTGTGTGAGAGAGAGAGAGAGAGAGAGAAGAGAGAGAGAAGAAAAATGTGAAAAGAAAAGAGAGTTTTCCATGTCCCTGCTGCTTCTGCTGCTGCTACTGCTGCTGCTACTCCTGCGATACGAAAGAGAGAGGAAGTAAGTCCCTTCATTTACCAATCTTGTCGTCACGACCTTATACCTTTGTACCTCGCGAAAGCAGCAGCTCAACAACAACGAAGCAAATGAGCAGCGAATTCGGTTAAGTGTCACCTGGATTTTGGGGGGAGGGAAGCAGCAGGAGCAGCAGCAGCAGCAGCAGCAGCGAGGTACCGAGCAGTGGCCACTCTGGAGCTCATGATTGAGAAAAACTGCTGAGGCGAGATGACGTTTAAGCTCTCTAACCGGTGCAGTCCTGGTGACGAAAGGAAAAAGGGCAAACCATAACGGAGGTACTCGAGAGAAAGAGAAAGCAGCGAACCTTTGAGAGAAAACAACCGGCGAACCCCCGGCTTTGGGAGCACTGTCACTGCTGAGCGCATTGCACTCGGTGTCCTGCAGATGGATCATCATCGTCGTCGTAAGCCTCGCGCTGTTGCTGATGTTTGCTCTTCATCTCTTCATCAATGTTCACGTCGTGGAGAGTTGCTTCCTCGCACTCGTCCAGCTCCACTTGCGTCAGCTGGAGTGCAGGCCTCGGCGGTAGGACCGATTCCAGCGTTTTCAACATGTCCGGGTTGAGGGCTCGCGGTTCCGGAAAATCAACGCTGAACTGAATGTACAATCTTCCCTTGACAAACGGCCGTTGATGCTGCGGCATCCCTTCGTCATTTACAGCCTTGAACTGCCCTGCCGCAGTCGAAATGACTAGTCAGTTGAAGAAACTTAACGTTCAAGAAAAAAATAAGCAAAAGAAATGGTGGAAGTTACTACCAGGCTTGATGATTTCTCCCGGTGCAGATTTTATAAGCAGCTGCCTGCCATCAAGTTGCGTGAGTACAAACTGGAAGCCGCACAAGGCTTCAACCAGCGTGAGTTTGTGCTCCGTGAAGAGATCGTCGCCTTTTCTCTTGAATTTGGAGTGCTCCTTCTCTTGCAGGATGAATATGACATCGCCGGTGATCGCATCTGGCTGCAAAGAACTTCTCCTTTTATCAATACCAAAGCTGGAAATAAACGAATTAAAAAGAAAAAAAGAAAAATTGACTAGCAAAGACTTACACATTCATCTGCTTCTCCCGGAAAAGTTATCTTCTGCCCATGTTGCATCCCCTTCTCAACGTGAACCTCGAGCATTTTCTTGTCTTGGACAACTTTGCTTCCTTTGCATTCCGAGCATTTATCCTTCTCCTTAATTACCTCGCCTGTTTAGGAAGAAGAAAAAGAAAACAATATCAAGCATGATCTCCAGGATCTCAACTGGGACAGACCTGCGCCACTACAGTCGCTACACATGTGTTGCATCTGTTGTATCATGCCTGGTCCCAACTGGCGGATGGTAACCTTCGTTCCGGAACCTTGGCAACTTGCGCAACGGCTGCTCAGGCCAGATTTGGATCCCTTCCTGTTGACAAATTTCGAAGTTTCTGAGATGAGAGGAAAGGCAAAAGAAAAAAGAAATTTTTTTTTCTCAAACTCACGATACGTTTGAATGATTCAACAAGGAACTCACGCCTTGCAGCTTGAGCAGATAACGCTTCTCATCAAAGTCAGCTTTTTGGAGGCTCCGGTGTAAACTTCTTCCAGCGAAACCTGTAAGGGATGGATCACATCCTCTCCCCTTCTATGCCTCCGGCCTCTGCTACTTCCTACGCGCAAAGACATAAAAAAACATAAGTATACCAAGGTGGACAATTACCTCCAACAAAAGGATTTCCAAAAAAGAAGGACTCGAAAATGTCGAAAGGATTGCTGCGCGAGGAGCAACCAGGCATTCCTTGCTTGAGACCCTCCTCCCCATGCTCGTCGTAAATCTCCCGTTTCTCCGGATCACTCAGCACTTCATAAGCTTGCGCTAATTCTTTAAACTGCAAGGAGCGGGAAATGGAATGGAGCAAGAGAAGAAGAAAAAAAGATGAACACAAAGAGAAAGGGAATGCTACCTTCTCGACATCGCCTCCCTTGTCCGGATGATTCAAGATCGCTGCTTTCTTGTAAGCTTTCTTAAGATCATCGGGGGAGGCATTCTTGGAGACTCCAAGAATCTCGTAGTAGCGCGTGCTGCTGCTGTCGCTCGACATGGCGGACCGGATCAATTACTTACATTTGCGCGATCGATCGCGGGATCGGGCCATCGATCACAACCCTAGCCCGGGATTCAAAGCAAGAACGCGTGAGTGAGCCCTAAAAATAAGGTCTCCCCTTATGGCGCTCGCGCTTGGCCACGCTGCCTTCGTCGACGAGGATTACGCCCGCGCGCTCGAGCTCTACAATCAGGCAGTGCTCGAGGAGCCTTCCAACGCTGGCGCGCTGGTGAGTAGAGCACAGGTCCATATCAAGCTCGGCCATTTCACAGGTAGGACAGACTTCTCGCGAGATCCTTCCATGGCTCTAGTTTTTCTACATTGCTAGATGCTATTGCCGATGCAAAGGCGGCTATCGACCTCAACCCGGCCCTGTCCAAGGCGCATCTTCGCCAAGGGTACGTGATTTCTGGGAAGAAAAACTCGATTTTGGTTTTCCAGGATTGCCTGTTTCTCTCTAGGGGAATACGAGACAGCCAGGGCCGCTTTCGAGAAGGCTGCATCGTTGGAAGACGATCCAAAAACCCGAGAATGGATCCACAAGTGCGATGAAAAACTCAAAGGTGACTTATACTTCGTGCTCAAGGATTGGATCGCTGAATGCTTGATGCTTGTAGAGGAGTCTGGTGTTCCCCAGGAAGCTGATATGCGTGATAGCGCCACGGATGAAGAAGTTTTCATGACTCCTTCGTTACCTCCTCCCAAATACAGGTTTGGTTTCGAAGAAAATTGTCGTTCTTTTTCCTTGATTCTTGAAATGCAGGCACGAATGGTATCAATCTCAAGAAGCTGTCGTCGTTACCGTCTTCGCGAAAGGCATCAAGCAAGAGGACGCGCGTATTGACTTTGGAGAACAGATGGTATATATGCTTTCCTAGGCAGTGGGCTTGACGTCCTGGTCTTGCAGCTCAGCGTAGTAATCAGAGTTCCAAACGAGAACCCGTATGCTTTACAGGTTCGCTTATTCGGGAAGGTAATATGCTTTTCTTCGCTAGGAAACGGATGCTCACGAGTATATTTCTAGGTGAATGTTCCCAAATGCAAATGCAGTATTTTGAGTACTAAAATCGAAATCCGACTCTCCAAAGCTGATGACACGCACTGGAAGGGCTTGTCTTACGAACAAAATCAAGGGCCAGTGCTGAAGAGTAAGCATTTCTGATTGCTTTCGGTGGGAAAGAACTTAATTCACGGTTACAGCTCCGTCGAGAGTGACTGCATATCCGAGCTCCAGCAAGAAAGCTGCCGAGAAAAACTGGGACAAGCTGGAAGCTGAAGTGAAGAAAGAGGTACTTTTCTTTGCACTGTGATCACTATATCGGCTGGAAACTCTTTTAGGAGAAGGACGAGAAACTGGAGGGTGACGCTGCACTCAACAAGCTCTTCCGAGAAATATACGGCAATGCGGACGAGGACACTAGACGGGCCATGAACAAGTCATTTGTAAGTAGAAACGTGGAAAGCTTTTTCTCGCAGTGATGATGAGCATGTGTGCTTGCGCAGGTTGAATCAAACGGGACCGTTTTATCGACAAACTGGAAAGAGGTTGGCAGCAAGAAAATCGCAGGAAGCGCCCCACAAGGCATGGAGATGAAGAAGTGGGAGGTTTGAAAAGTTTCATAGCCAGGATATTTTACGTATCCGCTTTATAACTTGTGTGTGTTTGGAATTTTAAGCGACGGCGATTTTTACAAGTGTTGGCCTCTCAATACATGCAATCTCGCTTGCTGACACGCAAGGAAACCCAAAAGTCGAGAGACAAAAAGGAGTGTTCTCTCTTGCGAAAAGCACACAAGAAAGGAGAGCTAGAGAGAGCGAGAGCGAGCGAGAGAGAGAGATGGATAAGACGGAAGGCTCGGTGCAAAACGTTGGCAATCTCTTCAGGAGGAACAGGAGTAGTGTTCGCACAGCGATGATGTGGACTTTTGGAGCTGGGGGTAAGTTTTAGAGGTAGTTCTTCGTGTTCTTCCGGAGTTTTTGGAGAACGAAGACAATGGATGATCCTTGCCGTACAGGTTTGCTGTGGCTGCTCTACACGGTGGAGCCATTCAAGTCCAAAATGGAGCCGTACAACTACCGTGGCTCTAGAGTTCCCACTGTCCCGAAAACCGGTAGCGAGGCCGGGTCGGCGGTGGCCCATCCAAAGTCTTGATGTAAAGGCGCTTTAAAATGGTCTAGATAGATGATTAGCAGAGCTCTTCTTCTTCTTCCTCGGTGTAGGTCTAGCGATCGCCACGATTCTTTCTTCTTGCTTGCGCGGCGATGCTGCCATTACGCGTCGCGGCTGCGTCGCTGCACGGACTTGGCGCAGGTGGAGGAGCTCCAGGCGGAGCTCCTTCGCCTGGATGGCAGCGATCGCGGCACTTTCGTCGGGAATCACCTCGTCCAGATGTTTGGCAAGCTGGGGCGCCTCGATCAGGCGTGGCAGGCGTTTGCCAGGATCCGGCAGCCCAATGTCTTCTCCTGGAACGCGATTCTTGCCGCGGCTGTGCGGCACGGGGATCTTCAGCGCGCGCAGGGTGTTTTTGACAGGATGCCGGAGAGAGATGTAGTCTCCTGGACCGCTCTCATCGCCGGATCCTCGCAGAGCGGCGATCCGGAGCTTGCTGTAGAGATGTTCTCGAGAATGCAGGCCCAGGGCGTCGTCCCCGATCGCGCGGCCTTTCTCAGCGCACTGGACGCGATCTCTCTCGCGCAGGCGCTCGAGTCTGGGATCTCGGTCCACGGAGCGATTGCTCGCCTGCGGCTGGAATCCGATGCCTTGATTGGGAGCGCGCTTATAAACATGTATGGGAAGTGCCAGGACGTGGCCCATGCAAAGGTGGTATTCGATTCGATGGAGCGGCGCAACGTTGTGGCCTGGACAGCGATCGTCGCAGCAAATGCCCAGAATGGGCGTGTTCTTGACGCCAAGTTCTTGTTCGAGAAGATGCCGCAGCAAGACATCGTCTCTTGGAACTCTATGATCTCGGGCATGGGGAAGAACCAGTATAACAGGGAAGCTCTGGATCTCTTCCACGCCATGGAAGCCATAGCCATGCTGCCGGAGAAGAGCACGCTCGTGAGCGCCATCGACGCCTGTGCGAATCTACCATCTCTAGCCGAGGGCCGACGAATCCACTCCAGGATAGACGAGACGATGTTGGAATCCGATAGGGAGATCCAGAACGCGCTTGTCAACATGTACGGGAGGTGTGGCGACTTGGAAACGGCGAGAGCGCTTTTCGATCGAATGCGAGACAAGAATGTGATTTCGTGGACTTCGGTGATCGCGGCGTATGCCCACCACGGGCATAGCCGCGCAGCGCTTGAGCTGTTCTACGAGATGGCCTGCGAGGGGCAAGCCCCCAACGAGATCACGCTCGCCACCCTCCTCTACGCTTGCAACTACACGGGACGGATCAACGATGGTGTCTACTACTTCATGTTCCTCCACCTCGAGTTTGGGATCCCAGCGACGCGGGAGCACTTCGTGTGGCTGATTGACGTGCTTGGGCGATGCGGGCAGCTCGAGAAAGCCGAGGAGCTGCTCAGGAGCATGCCGTTTGAGCCGCAGCCGCTCGCCTGGCGGATGCTCCTGGGAGCTTGTCAATCCCACAAGGATGTCGAGAGAGGTGAGCGGCTGGCTCGCCATCTATTTGCCACAAACTCTGTCCGCTCGTCACCGTACGTGGTGCTCTCTAACATTTTCCTCTCGAGCTCAGCGTCATAGGAGACGGCAAAGTCTTTCAGGAGCTCAAACAAGTTTCTTTACGAACCAAACATCCTTTTTGGTGGTGGTAGAAGTTCTTACAACATGTGTACAAGAACGAGTCATCAACGAGAGAGCTTACACCTTTGGGATCCTTCCCTTGCTGCCATTCCTTGTCAGCAGCTGACTGCAGCGTTGCGGAGATTCCATCCGCCTCCAGTCCCACAGCGTTCCGCTCTTCGACCGATTGAACGTCCTCGTGAGTCAATCTGCATTTTGGCGGCAGGAACGTAAGCATCCAGTTGGCAACAGCATCGAATCCGGAACTCCCAGGACGTCCTTCACCGTAGTGGCCCTGTACCAATGTTTTTCGCGGTAACCTTGGGCAGTACATGAGAAACCCGGCTAGAACGAAAGCCAAGAACTTCGAAGAGCGACGACGTCCACTCGCCCGACTTGGAGTGTGACAAGCACAATAGTCTAACTCAAGTGTATATTCTAACAGGCGAATTGCATTTGAACCCATGACTTCAAAGGACTTTTACCTCATGCACTGGTTTCTGGCGGAGGAAGAACTCACGAGCACATCCGCAACTTAGCCATGTTGCGGCACAAGGACTCCGAGAATACTCCTGGAAAAGCATGTCACTAGTCATAACTGGAAGATCGTCTTCGCAAAGAAAAGGCATATTGGGCTCTTGTGAGGATGATCCCGTTGATCGGCTCGGTCTCCACTCTAGCAGCATATTCGGAAGTGGTGCGCCACTCCAGGAGGTCTCCCCGCCCGTTAAAGTCTGGCTGCGCCACTTCAGGCTGGTCTCCTCGCGACTGCTGGGCTCGCGCGGCCACGCTCGTTACAGCCCTCCTCGGCAATGAAGAATACAGCGATAGATTTTTGCTGGCCCTCCTGGAAGGAAAGGACGCACATTGTCTGGGATGAGATCGGGCGATTAGCCAAGAGGGTGAACTCGATCAAACCTGGATGCAAAGGAAGCCAGTCGATGGGAGAAGCTGATCGCGCCACGCCCATCATATTTTGAGTTCTTCGGTGTAGAGACGAAATGGAAGGAGTATGTACGTGGTAGCATCTAAGGGTGAAACGTGGAAGGGTAAGATGTTTTCACGTATTTTCTAGCGTGAGATGATGGAATCCGAGAGGGCCGTTTGATCGAATGTGAAAAGTGATCGCAACTATGTCCAGAGAGGGAAGCGAGTTTTTGCCACAAGATCCTCGGATGTGGATGCTACTCTCGTCGATCTTCATGGCGATCAAAAAGTTTCCCTGGGTTGGTAAGTTCTTACACAGCAAAACTAAAGTTCTTACAACATATTTACAAGAACAAGTCATCAACGAGTGAGCTTACACGTTTGGGATCCTTCCCTCGCTGCCATACCGTGGCTCAAAGTCCGACGCCGCATTCTTGTCAGCAGCAGACTGCAGCGTTGCGGCGATTCCACCCGGCTCCAGGCCCCCAGTGTTCCGCTTCTCGACAGATTGAACTCGAGATGCGTCCTCGTGAGTTACAACCTTGTCAATCGGCATCTTAGCGGCGGCGTTCTGTTCACACGTAAACATCCGGTGAGCAACCATATCGATGAATCCGGAAGAGAAAAAGGCTTACATCCAGCACATCCTTCACCGTGGGGATCTCTGTAGTGGATCCCGCAGCGTTCATGTCAGCAGCCGACTGTGCTTCCGCGGCCACCACCCGCTTCACCCCGGTAGCATTGCCAGTTGCACGGCTCTCGGCGCTCTGGATGACTTTTGCATCGGGACGAGTGATCGGCTTGTCTCCAATGTTTTCCGCGGCAACTTCCAATGCCTGAGCAGTAATCGCGAAACAAAAACAGGTATCAGCATTGCCGGCTAGAACTAAAGCCAAGAACTTCGAAGAGCTTCTCACCTCTCCAATGGTGATGGGATGGTCGACGACGTCCACTGTCCCGGCTGCTGGCACTCCCTGCTTAGGAAGTCTCTAGTTAAGTTCCAGTCGAGCTCTTCTTCTCCAAATCCACGGCAAGAGAGGAAATTGAAAGAACTTACCATCGTACTAACATCGATGTCGACGGAATCCATGAAAGCATCCGTGGTGGCTATTTCATCCAGCGTTGGAACCTGCTGCGCGGCATAGAAATCGTCTCCAGAAAAGTCCGCGGCAGGAACTTGCGTTGCGAAGACATCATCTGTGGCACCGGCAGGAGTGGCAGACGCAGCAGCGGAAGCTCTATCGACGGCCGACTGCATTTTGGCGGCGGTGCCTCCCTTCATTGTCTGCCCGAATCGTGCGTTCTCCACGCTGCGCATCATAGCAGCGTCCTCGGCAGTGATGGGCTGCTCACGGAGGTCGCCCCGCGCGTTAAAGACTTCGCCATACGTTGGCTGCGAGGCTCCTCGCGACTGGGGCTGCTGTGCTCGCGCAGCCATGCTCGCCAAGGACCTCCTCGGCATCGCAGAACAGAGCGATGGATTCTTGCTGGCCGTCCTGGACGCACATTGTCTCGGGTGAGATGCGATCGACCAGCCAAGAACAATGGAGGGTGAGCTCGATCAAACCTGGATGCAAAGGATGCCACTTGATAGGAGAAGTTGATCGCGCCGCGCACCATGACCATTTTGCTCTTCTTGTGCTTTTCCTTTTGTCAAAGAGGATGTAGGTAAGGAAGAAACGTAAGGAGGCTGTGTAGCTCTACCGGGGAATATAAACCATGGTATAGCCAGTAGCCCATTTGGCACGTAGCATGGTTGCGTGGTGGCGGCCTAGTGGTGAAACGTGGATGGCAAGATTTTTAAGCCTAGGCAACATTCTACATTGACCATTCACGCTAAAGTTTCACCACTGGATCCGTGGCGCAATGGTAGCGCGTCTGACTCCAGATCAGAAGGCTGCGTGTTCGAGTCACGCCGGGTTCATCCGGTTTTCTTTTTTCTTAAAAAATACCTTTAATAAAGGTATAGCATTTTTCTGAAAAAATGTTCTAGAAGTGGGACGTGAACTGCGATATCATTGCATTGGCCAGGTTGACGTACCCGATAACCTAGGTTCAAAACCATTATTTCTTGTCTATTGTCCTAGTAGTCGAATTTTATCTTGCCTGGTCAGGGATGCTTTTCCCTGTGTGAGATTCGATAATGATCCCAGACGTGAGGCCAAGCATCGCCCAGCCACCATTTATCGCTTCGATCTCGCGTCGTCGCTGTGTTTAACACCAAAATACTTGGAAATGTTCTTGGCTAAAATTGAGATCACTTGCCTTGAGCTTGGCGCGGAATTTAATCCGCTCCATTTCTGCTGCTGCCAGTCGCTTGGCTTCCAAGGGATCAAGCATCGTCACAATTCGCGAGTTCCCGGAAGATGGCCTCGCCGGATTGCTCTGCTCAAGAAAGAAAAGAATTCCATGGTTGGAGAAGAAAACTCAAGAAACTGTAGCTCACTCCTGCGTATGAACTGCTTATAACTCTGCTGAATCTCTTCCTCTTGCCACCAGTACCTCCACTGAAAGCTCGAGAATGGCTTGCAAGCTCCAAGTTCTAAACGACTTCTCTTACCTTGTCGCGAAGGTCGCGGGACCATTTGAGTGAAGCGGCATTCCAGACGAGGCCATTGATCTCGTCTAGGGTTCTTTGTTTGGTTAAAGATTTTATCACCTATGAGCGTGTGCGTGGCCAGCACTTGTGGAAGCTCTCCTCGCCACCACGGCAATGCAACGAGGCCGAGAGAAATGGGTTTTGGATGGAGTGGCGATTGGAGCGTCGCGATGCCAAGGAAGCGCTTCCAAGCAACCATTGTGTGCATGGCTACTGTAAGTTTCTTCCTCCTCGTCGCTGGAGTTATCCTTGTCGCTTGCATTTCCAGGAGCCCTACATTATTTCCAAGCTCGACTCCGCAGAACAGACATACAAGGAGCTCACGGTAAATCTAAATCTATCAAACTAGCGATTGTAGCCATTTTTCTTCGTTTGTTCTAGGTGAAGCTTGCTGATCCTGATGTCGCGAATGATCCCAGCGAGTTCCAGAAGCTTGCCAAAGCCATTGCGGACATGGAAGAAGTACTCTCAATTCTTCTGTCTCGCAACGGAAACTGACTGACTCTTTAGATTCACAGGTGGTCACGTCCTACCAAAAGTACAAAGAATCACAGCGTGAACTGGATGATCTGCAAGGTAATGCTTCGCATTCTACGAGTTTGGTTCTTGCTTGAAGAGATCGCATTCACGCTGACAGAGATGATAAAGTCTTCTGGTGACAAAGAGCTGGCCGAGATGGCGGTCGAAGAATCTGCAATTCTGAAGGAAAACATCACCAATCTTGAAGAATATCTCAAGGTAAGCTCCACAGAAAACAGAAAAAGAAGAACAAGGCAACGAGAAAACAGAAGCTTGTCATGTTTTCCAGGTTTTGCTCTTGCCTAGTGACCCACTAGACTCGAGAAATATAATGCTTGAAGGTGTGGTTCTGTGATCTTGCTCGATCTTTCGTGGACTTACAAAGTTTGTTTTTGTTTCCCAGTTAGAGCTGGAACTGGAGGCGATGAAGCTGGAATCTGGGCTGGTGACCTTGTAGGTAGAGATACTTTTCCAAAGTGCTTGCTTCTACTAGTTCATTTCTTTTGTCCCAGGTACGGATGTATCAGAAGTACGCGGAACAAAACCGATGGAACTGGAGTCCTATTTCCCAGACAGAAGTAAGTTGTGATTCTTTTCAAGCGGTTTTCTTCTCGTCTCATAGACAGTGTTTTTGGATGTTTCAAGGCGGAGAAAGGTGGCTTCAAGGAATATGTGCTCGAGATAACTGGCGATCGTGTCTACAGCAAGCTAAAGTACGAGTCGGGCGTCCATCGAGTTCAACGTGTGCCGGCCACGGAATCTCAAGGCCGAGTACACACGTCGACAGCCACTGTTGCTATCATGCCCGAGGTACGTTGTGTTTTTCTTCGTTTTGTTTTTGCATGCTTTTTCTTTGGAAAATCACGAGTTTTTCTCTAAAAGGTTGATGAGGTCGAAGTTGTGATCGATCCAAAAGATATTGAACTTACAACTGCGAGGTCTGGTGGTGCCGGAGGTTTGTATAGTTTTTGTTCCTCGTTTTTTATTTTCTTTTCTTTGTGTGTGTGAGAGAGAGATGAGTCCTGCTTGCAGGCCAGAATGTGAACAAAGTGGAAACTGCTGTGGACCTGTTTCACAAGCCAACGGGCATTCGAATCTTCTGCACGGAAGAGAGGACTCAGCTCAAGAACAAAGCTCGCGCGTTTCAGCTCTTGAGAGCTAAACTGTAAGTAACTTCTTACAAAGTTAAGTCTCGCATTTGTGAAGTTTTTTGTTGTGCGGGTGAGCAGCTACGAGATGAAACTAGCCGAGCAACAAGAGAAGATCAGCTCTCAACGCAGGTCTCAGGTTAGCAACAGGCAGTTATACTTTTTCTTTCTCTTTAATTTTTGTTCCTATCCATTTGTATGATCATGTACAAGGTTGGAACTGGCGCAAGGTCCGAGAAAATCCGGACATACAACTACAAGGTTGGAGCTATCCTTGCTTGTTTTATAGATTACTCACTATTGCTCCTGCGAACAGGATAATAGAGTCTCGGATCACAGAACCAAGATAAACTTTGACCTCGATTCTTTCTTGAGTGGAAACATTGAGTCGGCCGTACAGGTACCCCAATCCCGCGATGCTTAAAAGCTCTTTCTCAGCCACGTTTCTCAGGCCTGTGCCGCGGTGGAACAAAAACAAATGCTCGAAGAGCTCGCGGCTTCTGTTTTTTAGCGCTTGGATAAATCGACCGGGAAACAAAGAAAAAAAAAATTTGTAACTTTGCGCAAAGAATGAAAAAAAAACACGATCTTTTGTTTTCACGCGAGAATGGTCTTGGTTTTGTAGTCACGCGTAAACTCTCTTCAGACACCCGACTCTGGAGGGAATGAAAGATGGAAAATCAAAAACAACGCCACCTAGTGCGCGTTGTGCTGTATCACAAATACTTTCGCTCATTGATCGTCCCGACAGCCGCTTGCGGCCGGCAGCAGGGCCTACAAAGAGAGAGATACCGAGATGTCTTTCCAGATCTTGTAAGAACGAGCGCTGGATCGCAGCACAGAAACTTGCGATCTCGAGCGTCTCTAACTTTGTGTTTCTCACTTGCTTGTAGATATCATAGGAGTCTTGGATCAGGAAGATGGTTGTATAGTAGATCTCCTTTTACCTCTACAGTTTGGGCGATGGAGGATCTCGATCATAGCTTTGTTCTTTGGAACAAGCCAGTGTTGGATGAAAACGAGCCGAGCAGTCCTGTCCTGTTCAAGGCAAGTGATCCAGGTGACGTCGAGGAGAAGCCACAGAAGCAACAAGACACGGCGGAAGATCTCTACAAGCTCTACGAGCAGCTCACTGGGCCATTCCAGGAGTTCACTCTCAAGGATTTTGTTAGTGGAATCAAGCAAAACGGCGGCCTCGATTCTCCAGCTAACGACATTGCAGTGCCGAGTAAAAGCTCCTCCATATCCCCCAGAAACTCCCTCCACGGGGAACTTTGCAAGGAGTCACCCGCGAGCTCTCCATGGAACCGGCCGAGGTCACCCATGCTTCCAGCGAACAAACGAGTGAGGCCAACTCCATCATGCGACGCATCGTTTTACCAGTCGCCCAAGAGAAGCGGAGCTCCAATTCCTGTGGAGCACGGCACAGATTGTCACATTTGCAATACCAAAGCCATGATCGTCAAGACCAGATGCCTGGTAACAGTGCGCATTGAATCTCTTTCCATTTTGCTTGAGCTTTTAGTTTGAGCTCCTCCTCCAGGTGTGTGGCAAAGTTTACTGCCGGAAGTGCGTCAAGGAAGGCATGGGCAGCATGTTGGAAGGAAGGAAATGCCGATCTTGTCTTGGCCATCGTTTCAATCCAAGGTTTCTAATCAGATCTTTCTTTTTTCTTGTTTTGTAACTTTCTCTTTGATTTCTCAGGTATATTGATCGAGCTGGAAAGGGATGGTGGATCTCAAATCGAGTGAAGCAAGTGGAGATGAGATGGGCGACCAAGAGGTCAAGAGCAGAGTTCCAGAGTTTACAATTGTAGCATTTTAGGGCTTTCTTTTACTTCTTGTAAAGGTTTGTAAGAAATGAAACTCATTAGCCCTAACTTTATAAGGACAAGAGGAAAGGGGGAAGGTTTTCTAGGGTTCCTGGGGCTCTAGGGCAGAGGCAGTCGCGAATCGCGATGGGGAAGCACGAATTCATGACGCCCAAGGCGATCGCCAACCGGATCAAGGCCAAGGGCCTCCAGAAGCTGCGCTGGTATTGTCAGATGTGCGAGAAGCAGTGCCGCGACGAGAACGGCTTCAAGTGCCACTGCCTGAGCGAGAGCCACCAGCGGCAGATGCAGATCTTCGGCATGAGCCCCGGTAAATTCGTAGGCCAGTTCTCGCACGATTTCGAGTCGGCATTCATGGAGCACATGAAGCGCAACCATCGCTCCAGCCGCGTCGCCGCCAACGTCGTCTACAATGCCTACATCCAGGACAGGACCCACGTCCACATGAACTCCTCGCGCTGGGCGACGCTCACCGATTTCGTCAAGTACCTCGGCCGGACCGGCAAGTGCAAGGTGGAGGACACTCCCAAGGGCTGGTTCCTAACTTACATCGATCGCGAGCCCGAGACGCTCCTCCGGGAGGGGCAGAAGCAAAAGAGGATCGCTGCCGAGGCCGCCGGGGAGGATCGCCACGAGAGGGAGATCGTGTCCATGATAAAAAAGGCCAAGAAATCGTCGCAGCACCAGCCCGAGGCTGGCTCCTCGCAGCAGGCCACCGAGATTGACAAGGAGGTCGAGGCCGGAGAAAAGATCGCGTTTTCCTTCGGTGGCGCTTCGAAGCCGCCGGTGGCGAAGCCGGCCTCGATCGAGAGACACGAGGAGCACAAGAGCGAGGAGAAAAATCCGGTTTTGGCCGCTGACACTCCTCCGCCCAAGTCCAAGGGAATGGGAGCTCTCGACGAGCTCATGAAGGAGCAAGAACTCGTCAAGGAGAGGAAGAACCGAAAGGACTACTGGCTCTCCGAGGGGCTCGTCGTCAAGGTGATGGCCAAGAGCCTGGCCGATTACTACAAGCGCAAGGGGGTGGTGAGGCAAGTGATCAACAAGTACGTGGGAGAGATCGAGATGCTCGACAGCGGTCACGTACTCAAGGTGGATCAGGCGGAGCTGGAGACCGTGATCCCGCAAATCGGCGGCCTTGTGAAGATTGTCAACGGGGCTTACAGGGATTCCTTGGCCAAGCTCGTGTCGATCGACGAGGACAACTTCTGCGCGAATGTACACATCGAGAAAGGTTCGTACATTGGAAGGCTTGTTCCAGGGATCGCGTACGAGGACCTGTGCAAAGTCCACGCATAGAGATGGAAGAACCAGCGGAGATGAAATTATTCTTCGATCGTTGGAACCATTTCAACGATGTACCAACAGTAATGGTATTGTTTCTTTCTTTTTCGTTTTGTTCGCTCGGCTTGGAAGGATGTGAACCCACCCGTGGCAGCAAGCCTCGTCTGTTTGCTCTCTCACGTTTTCCTCGCAAAAGTGCGAGAGTTTTTCTAGGTGGGACAGACGCGACACTCGGCTTCTTTCCAGCTGGATGAGTCGCGTTTCTACACAGAGTAGAGGCGGATCAAAAGCACCGAAAGCAGAGGATGAAGTTACCGGGATCTCTGGAAGTGGCGCCTGTGATCTTTTCTTCTGCTCGATGCTCATCTCAGCCAGTAAGTTTCTCCAAAGTCTCTCTTTCGTGTTTCTAATGCGAGCTTCGGCGTCCACAGATGAAAGATTGCAAGTAGTCTTTCTGCTTCCGTTTTTCCGCTCTGGTTTCTAAAGCTCTTGCCTTTCTTGCTCAGATTGTCTCGCGATTAGCCCCGTTTGTCCTCCCCAATCCGTGAGGAATATAACTTGTAGAACCGGAGGCACCGCAAGCGGCGAGTGCTACTTCGTTGGCCGATGCTATCCTCAAAACAATGGGTGCTACATGCTGAGCGCGACGGAGCAAGTTTTCTGTGGCTTCTAGCACCATTTTCATTTTCAAAATAAAACCTTCACGTTAGAAGGTAAAAAGAAGCGAGGGTTCGTCACCTTTTAGAGCTTCTACTTGAGCTTGGACTTCGCGGAGCTCTTGAGTGGGTTGACGACGGGCCTGGCGAGCGTCTGGACCTTTTGGAAGTCGTATTTCACGGACAGGAATCCAAGCGCGACCGCGACGATGAACGCTGGATTTGCGTGAACCTGGGTACCGGAGCTTGGATTCTTGTGGAGAATGCCCTCCTTGATCAGCCCCCACGCGATCAAGAGCATCCCAAACATGCTCATTCTTCCATGCTTGAAAACTCCCACCAGCGCTCCCGCGACAGCGAAGTAACTCCCAGCAATCACCTGGGAGATGGGAGTTAGTCATGAATTTCTAGTGTTTAGCTTACCTCGAGGCGGAGAAGATCGAGACCCGGGGAGCTTGTCTCGGTGATGTTGTACTGCTCGAGGATCTTGTCCCAAGAAGGCAGCGAGAGATCGGTGATCAAGCCCCGGACGCACGCTCCAGGGAGGAGGAGAGATTTGACGAGCCAGAGAGGAGTGGCTTTGCTGCTGGCCATTTGGACGGCCGTAAGCTCCAGAGGATTGGTGCAAACGCCGGCTTGGCAGGGGACCCTGGAGGACGAGGAAGAATGCGCTATGCCAGTTGGATTGTGATTGCCTACCTGAAGAGTGGGAGCTGGAAGAGCACGATCGCCAGGAAGAGCCGGGACGAGATCGTGGCAATGGTTGCAGATCGAGAGGCTGCGCCCCGATTCCTCGCGCGGATCGTCGCCTGGCGGGGCCGATCGCTCGTCTCCTCCATCCTAGCAGCGACGACTAAATCGAAAAAATGACAATGCCCTAGAAATATTTTGTGCTTGGCTTGGCTATGGCGTGCTCGTGCCGGATCGCTTCGCTTTCTTCTTCCTCTTCGTCTTCCTCTTTTTCATGTTTGGGCCCTTCGGCGCCATCACATTCTTCGCCATTGCTGCGCGGAGGATTCGCGCAACGGCTAGGACGTGGATTAGGGTTTAAGCTGGAGCTCACAAGGAAGAATTCGAGGCATTGGAATGGCGCTACCGTGTGCATGGTTCTTCCTACAGGGTAAGATCACTATGCTCGCCTCCATCCATTCTCATCGATTGCTTGGATTCCATTTTCCACAGCAAGCCCGACGCTACATTGGAGAAGGATAAACAAGCAAAGTAAGTGGAAAGAAGATTTTTTTTGCTCGCCTACATGGTTAGATTCTTCCGAAGATGGAGCGCGCGAGCGATCAAGGCTTTCAGCATGGCGGAGCTCGAGGCACGAAAGATGAAATACGCCACCACTGGAACGGAGTCTCTGCTCATGGGAATTCTCACCGAAGGTACTTACACTCTTTTCTCGGTGGATTTTCTCATCTTTCGTTGTTCATCTGTCATCTTTCATCTTTGTTTGTTTCGTGATTTCAGGGACGAGCAAAGCTTCTCTTTACTTGCGAGCAAACGGTGTGACGCTGTTCAAGGTGAGGAGCGAGGCTGTCAATGTTCTCGGCAAGGCAGACATGTATTTCTTTAGTCCCGAGCACCCACCACTTACGGAGCCCGCACAAAAGGCACTCGACTGGGCAGTGGATGAACACCAAAAGCTGGGTAAGTTCTTGCCAGTTTTCACTTTATTCTTTTCGATCGAGTATATCCAGGAGCAAATGGAGAGATCTCAACAACGCTGCTGCTGCTGGGCATTTGGGAGCAGAAGAACTCGGCCGGGCAAAAGATCCTCGCTGCTCTGGGATTCGACGATAAGAAAGCGCAAGAGATCCTAGCAGCGGTACGCAGAGATCATTGTTTTGATGCCAAAAGGTTAACGAGCATTGTGGTCAATGTGGTGATGCAGGAAAGAGAAGATTTGGGAATCCCGGCCACTTGAGAGAGCAAAGGCAAACTTTTTGTGCCATGAAGAACAGAGAAATCCGCCACCTTGTCCCTGTAGGAAAAATTGGAAAGCCAAATGGGGGGAAAATCCCTAATTTTGTGGTCACATTTTTAGGGTTTACAGGAGTGATCCCAGGGGCGAAAATGGGCGTCAGTGCCTGAAGCTCGGGGTGCGCTAGAAAATGTCAATGTCAGGGAGCGCCAGCACTGGACCAGCAATCACGATTATTATAGAAGACGATGATGCCGATCTCCAAATTTCTTCCGAAGATTTGTTCTTGACTTTACCGCAGGTATGTTGCTGAGCACGTCTTGCGCCTTGCGATCACTCCAAGAAAAAAAACAAAACTTCTTCCGCTTCCATTGATTTTGTTTGAATTTTTTTTGCTTCTCATGCTGCTGTTTGCTGACATTGCTCAAGGTAAACTCGGTCACTCGTCCAACACTCCACGACTTTATTGTCATTGATCCTCTGGACGATCCTTTAGAGCTGCGACTCGGTCCTTCAGGTTGCTCATAGTATTTTTTTTTATTTTATTTTTCCTAGAGCTTAGTTTTTTCTAAGATTTAAGCTTTGCTTTGGTGTTTAATCCAGGTGCTTCCACTCCGAGAAGAAGCGAGGATGCCCGTGCAGACAGGCCGGGCGCTCCTCCCGCGATCGATCTCCAGTTTTCGCTTAGCGGCGAAGCCATCACCGAAACTAAGAAGGTACGTCGAGCTCTCGTTTGCTCGCTTTCTCGGTTTGTTTGATTTGTTCGCTTGTGTTCGCGTCGTTTAGACTTTCTCGTGACGTGAGCGCTGTGTAGTTTATGGCCTGCCAGCCAAGTGGTACCTCGTAAAACTTGTGTGCTGGGTGCATCGTCATCACAATCAATTTCTCGAGTGAACTTCCAGGACCACCACGTTTCGTCCTTGTTTGACAATTCCCTTTGGAACTTTCTTCTTCTTCTTCTATTGATTTCCTCTCTGTTTTCTTTTTTCTTTGTTGTTTTCTCATGGGATGATCTTGCAGAGACGCAAGCCCTCCGCCGATGATTCGCTAAGCGCGGGTGTTAGGCTAACTTGTATCATCTGTATGGACGCGATGAAGGAAGAGACCTCAACCATATGTGGTCACATTTTTTGCAAAGAGTGTATTCTAGTGGCCATTCAAGCGCGCAAGGCATGCCCCACTTGCCGGAGGAAATTGACCAGCAAGGACATCCATCGCATCTACCTCTCGAGCTAAGCTAGCTCGAGAGACAAATCCAGGGCCGCGTCTGCCGATCCACCGAGGGAAAAACTAAGAAAAAGATATGGAAAAGCAGGAAAGATATCGCCCGCCGCGAGAGATCTTCATACGTACCGCGCATGAAGAAATCGAGCAGCGGCAATTGTACCTTACGCTAGCTATAAGCTTGTCCCACCGCGGAAAAAGAAGAAGGGGTGACATTCTTCGTTCCAAAACCATATATGTGTATAAGCTATGATTCTTTTTGAAAGATTGATGATCTCTATCAATGCATTGACTGGGTGGGCAAAGAATATTTTGTCTAGTATGACATCCAAATCACAAGCTGGCCAGGCCATGCGCCACGTCCGCCGGGCGGGATCCTCCACGTCGGAGATGACGCGTCACGTGGCCTTCACGTGACGGTTCACGTGATGGCCTGGGGGCCTTTTCTTTTCACCCCACGCCACCACCAGCACAGTAACTCCAGTTAGTTGAAAATCCCTCATCCTCCGCTGGCAAGGCAACAGTTTTGGATAAGAGACTAGGAGGCGGCACTTTCACCGAGGTGAAAGAGGCCCCTATCGGCGGCGTAATGGCCGCGCGGCAGGGCCAGCGGCGCCACCGGCGGCGGTGACGGTCGCGTGGCCCCGCCGCCCGCGGGGTGGCGCCGCGTGGCAGCCAGCTGGCAGAATATTCGGCGCTCTGAAAGCTGTAGCTGGGGACTGGAACTCCTTACCTGCGCTTAGATTTTTTGGCGCTCGCGTTCCTCTCGCTTTTGTTCTTCTTACAAGCAACGGCGACGATGAGGAGAGTTTTCAATGGGGGCGTTGGCACGTCGTGGTAGCGGCATCTAGAAAACGTTGATGTGTGGGAGAAATTTTCGCTGGAACAAGAAGATTTCTATCATCCCCCGCGGCGTCGTCAAGGGCGTTGCATCTATCTAGATTCTCCAGGGATCCAATTGCGCATCTCTCAATCAGTTGGGATCGCTATCGTTAGTTGGGGGGTGGAGAATCAATACGTCGAGCTTGTTTGGTCCGTGCCAGTGCCTTTGACTGGCCAGCGTGGATTGATTTTCCATCGAAAGAGATTTCAGGGTTTCCATCGTTGCTCGCATCTTAGAATAGAGTATCTATATGATGCTCTACTCAAGGAAAACCACTAGTATAATCCCGGAATGATTGGCTTTGTCCATCGACGTGATCCATCCGGCTCATAAGTTTCTAACCAAATTAGTGTCCACGCGCGCACGCTTGCATGCATTGCAAGCTGCTACACCGACACCCAACACATTGTTTGGTTCACCCAACAACCACCAATTTAGGCAAAGAAACTCCATCCAAACCAAAAAAAGAGGGTGTCAATGAATTGTGAATCAATGTTCTTCCCTGGACCCTGCGCTCGGATTCCCGAAAACAACCCCACAGGCTCCAGTTGATTGATCTCACGCCGACATATTCCCAGTTTTTTCTTGGCAATTTGGCCTGGAGTGGACGAGGACAAAGCTTTACGAAAGGGGTAATGTCGGTCGATCTCCAGCGACCGATTTCATCGATCAATCCAGTCCAATCCTCCTCGAAAAAGAAGGCCAAGGAAAAAGAGTAAGATTTGGAGAACTTGTGGTGGTTCTTCCAGTTGCCCCTTCCGTACAAATCCACATATCATGAAAATTAACATCCACCTCATCAACTGTGGATCCAACAGCCGCAACAGCGATGCAACACACAAGGGTGCGATGTCGGTAAGTACAAGCATAGATCCATGTGCGCCATGGGGCCCATGTCCGGGCATTCAAGACAACGTACGGCAGAGAAGCAGTGTGGGCGTACGGTGCCCACCCCAGGGGAAACAGCAGCATTTACTCCGCATCCCTGGAATATGCGCGGCCCAGGTGGGCTCGGGCTCCAGCCGGGTGACGTCGGCTGCCACCGTGGCAGGAGACGTCAGCGGGGGTTTTGGCAGGACACGCGTCAGCGCCCCAGTTCCCCACTGTCCAAGCTGACAGATGAGCGGTGAAGATAATTCCAGCCGGGTAGTCCTCTTTTTTCCAACCGTCCGGCCGGGCGGTGGATCTTGACCACGGTTGTTCCGTAATTCAACTCGCGTGTGGTCCGTCCGATGGTGCCAGCGACGGCCAAGATTTCCCTAGCGCTGCGCTTTTCTGTAATGTCCGTGGTCCGAGCAAGGCAAAAAATCTTTGGCGATTTCGCGAGAAAGGGGCGGATCCCACTTCGCATTCCTCGCTCTCGCTCGCATTGAATCCATGATCCCACAAACCGCAAACATCCTGTACAGAGGAGCGCAGAGTGTAGAATTGCCCAGATTTTAGACAAGGAAGGCACCCAATTGACGATCTTGCCGAGCTCAGGGAAAGCAAGCTCGCTGGTGCAAAGGGTAGCCTCTCCTAGTAGCTAGCGTGTGTCTGTGGATTCGATCCAATCCACCCAGCCATTTTAACCATCTTGCGCTCTGGATGGATGTGACATTAGCCATGACGCATTGTCACTCTCTTTCATCGCTCAGCGGCAAATTCATGTCGATTCCTCGCTGCCCATGAATGAAATCATCCTGTCTTTGTGTGTCTTCTCAAAGATCCCTCGTTTGTTTTTTATATAAATCCAGAGAGCCCAGTTTGCCTGGCCTAGAACAGGGGAGCCCTGGGAGAGAGAGAGAGAAAGAGAGAACCTCACTGTGAAAGGTATAGTTATGTCTTTCTCTGGCGCGTGAGAGTGTGTGCATTGGATTCCTTGCTCCTTCCTATAAGCTCTATTTTTTTTCTCTTTTATTTCTTTCGCTGAGATGACTTGAGGCCACCACCACCACCACCTCCCGCCCATGTGAAAAAAGCTTCGCTGCTACCTTCTTTCTTTGCTTTGGGGCTTTGGCTTGCGAGAGGGAGTGAGAGAGATTGAGAGGTTTTCCCCTAAGCCTTTTCTTTCCCCACTCGCCCTCACCACATTCACTCCATTCGCCATCAAAGGCGGCCACACCACCCCCGCCAAACGATCTGGAAGTGAGCGAGCGAGCGAGCGAGCGAGAGCTTGTTGTTAGCACCCCTTGGATTGATCCATCCAAAGCGTGCTTGCTTGAGCTTAAATCTCTGGGAACTAAACAAACGGGACGGGAAGTTGGCTCCTCACAGAAAAGGGAGAGTGAGAAACAAAAAGAGAGAGAGAGAGAGAGTCGCGTGGCAGTGCAGGCATCAGCGCTGAGCGGCAGCACAAGAGCCAGAGAGCAGTGGTTTCAAGCGCAATTCAACGCTGCCAGTGTAGATCCATTCCCCTTGCTTTTGCCCACTTTCTCTCCTTTGCTCCCAGTCTAGATTCGTTTCGCCACCATTATATTGCTCGAGTAGCAGTCACTCCTCCTCGGAATCCCTCTATACAAGGCCGTGGAGAAGCGTGAAGAGCGGTGAATTGCGATCAAATTCTCATTCCCGGGTGAATACAGATTGAGAGACAGAGAGAGAGAGAGAGAGAGGCTATCATCTCGCTCCAGGCAGCTCTCGCGGCGAATGAAAGTGCGCGGAGCAAGGATTCGTTGGGTTTAATCCCTGATTCTTCGAGAAGAAGAGGCGTCGAAGGCGCAGGGGAAGTTGCCCGCGCATGCCCGCAAAAATCTTGGCCAGTTTTTCCCTCGCCCGAGTCGCTCCACGCCGCCCGTGTCGTTCTCCGGAATTGGCCGCGTCGCTGCGCTAGCTGCTGTGTGGCTCGCTCGCCTCTGGCTCGTAACGCCCTGGGCATTGACCAGATAAATGCGCTGCTGCTCCCCATGGATTCCTCGTCGTCGGAGCAACTGGCCGGGTTCGGGATCGTGGGGCACCAGTTTGGGAGCGGCGCTAGCAGCTATGTCCTCGACATGGATCGAGTGGAGCCGCCGTTTCTCTGCGCGGGGGAGGAGCACGCCACGGACTCGTCCAGCCAGTCAAGCCCAGCCGGCGCCGGGATATCCATTGACTTTGGCGGCGGCATGGAGTCAACTGAGGAGCTCCACTACCTCATCCATGGCGGCGACCGCAGCGTGTTCGATCAATTGGACATCTTTGGGCAGCACAATTTCCCGCCGCTGCTCGACCCAGCCGCCGCGCTGGGCTGCGGCGACGCCCACCACGGCCAGCTCCCGGATTTAGACGAGCTGATCCAGGCCTCGGGCGTGGACGCGGTCGGATCCAGCAGCAGTGATGGCGAGGGCGTGGATCATCAGCACCAGCACCAGCACCAGCAGCACGAGGCGGTGCACGCTTCCGCGAGCTCGGCCACCTCCAGCGCCAGCTCCGACGCGGGTCTGTGTCCCTTGGGCACCAGCAGCTCCGGCGCCACCTCGGTCATGCAGCAGGCCCAAGCAATCCAGCCGGGCGAGCCATGGGCTCATCGCTTCCCTGATGTCGGTTTCACATCAGGCATGGCCGCGGATCCAGAGAGCAAGCAAGGGATGTTCTCGGCTTCCCAAGGAGGCAGCGACATGGAGCATGCTTCTTCCCAAGCTCCCAACGAACAACATCAAGGTGGTGGTGGCGCTGGCGCTGGCGCCGGCATGGCAAACATGCGGGAGACCTTGTATAGAATGGCGGTCTGGAGGCCCATCACGGCCACGGATTGCCTGGGCGGGAGCAAGCCCAAGCGGAGGAACGTGCGAATCTCGTCGGATCCACAGACGGTGGCGGCGAGGCACCGGCGGGAGAGGATCAGCACCAAGATCAGGATCTTGCAAAGGCTGGTTCCCGGAGGTACCAAGATGGACACGGCCTCGATGCTAGACGAGGCCATCCACTATGTCAAGTATCTCAAGTCGCAGGTCCAGGCTATGGAGATGCTGGAGCAGAGCAGTGGTGATCAACCCCTGCTCAGGAATTCATCATCAGCTGCATCATTAGCGTCCACAGCGACAGCAGCATCACAAACTGCTGCTCCAGGGATCTGTCATTTGTACAACGCGCACAGTGGAAGTGGTCTGCTGAATGGCAGCATCTTTTGGCCACAGCAGTTTTCAATGGACAGTGGTGGACTCCTAGTACAACAGGTCAACATTTCAGGATATTGATCAATCAATCAATCTTTTCCGTTCTTTTCTTCTTGCTCTTCTTCTTATTGATCTCCTTGATATCTTTTTCCCCCCTCTGCATTGGTGCAAGATCAGGAGCAAGATCACACATGCACAAGCTGATCCGGGCAAAGGCACACAACACCCACACATGTAACATGCGTCCCTCTCACTTGCTTTTCTGGTTTTGTTTGGATTCCTCCTCCTCCCCCTCCTCCTCCTCCTTGTCTCTTTCTCTCTGTGTGTAATTTCCAGATTTTGATGAAACATCTGCATAGGGCTGGGCTTCCTCCTCCCTTGTCATGTGGAAAGGACCAAGCAGCTCGTGAGAGAAGGATCGATGATCATATGATCTTGTGCTTTGCTCTCTCTCAAATGGAAATGTAAATGTCTCGAGTGTTAACTTGGCTGGTTGGGCCGGTTTACTGGTGGTTGACCTGTGTCAATGGAAGTAGGGTCCATTGGAGATCTTCCAAGAGCAGATCCAAATTCTTCTGCTTAGCATGATTGGCAGATATTCAACACTGCTTTAGGTGGACTTGTTCAGACAGACAACTACAACATCAAAGCACAGGATTTGTTTGCCATTTTCAACACAAACACATATATGCACTCAACACACACACACTAACAACCAAGACATTATTGTGTAGCTTGGGGGGAACAAGGCATTGCCCAAAAGCTGAGGATGTGATTCCTCTTGGCCCCAATTTGTTTATGCAAGGAATGTTCCTCTATTTCGTGACAATGTGGATTTGCTTTGGGAACACAAAGGAAAAATGTGTTGCATTGGGATGGATGACTAAAATACTAAGCTTCATATTTCTTAACAATTGATTTGCTTAGCACGTGTAACCCATGGTCTTGTATTTTAGAGCACAAAACTCCAGCCCATATTCCGTTACCATGAAAAAATAAGTTTCTTCCTGTGTTTGGGGCAAGATTTTTTTGCAGCCCAGCAGATCACCCAAAATGAGCAAGATATCACACAATGACCTCAAATGGGACGAAAACAGCAGCAAAGCTCTTCTTGGTTATGTTTCCAAAACTGTTGCAGCAGCAACCTTTGTCTCTAGTTTTCATCTATCCGAGAACAGTGCAAAAGAAAACAAAGCAAACACTCCCCACACTGATTTCAATATGCACAAGCACCAGTGCATGCATTTGGGCTACTGCCTGCTCTCTCGAAGATTCCAGCCAAGTCTTGCAGAAAAAGGTGGCAACATTAGAGCCCAACTAAATATTATATGCATTTGAATGTACTCTACGAAGGGTGGCGCTTCAGTGTCTCAACCTACTTTTGTTGATTTCAAGAAGGAAACTATTGGTTTCCTGATATAAAATAAAACTATATCATACTACTCGTTATACTAGTCAGATAACAAATAGATACTCCCTCAGAATCAGAAGAAAGTTGTTTCTCTAAATTGAAGGATGAGCCCAAGTCATTCTATATTGTGAAAACCGGGTAGCAATGACGTGACGAAACCAACAGCGAGCATTTGCACTTCCCTCACGAATCCTCTCCAGTTACCAAGTTGAGCTTGCGCTTGCGCTTGATCTTGATCTTGGGCTTGAGCTTGATCTTCAGCTCGTGCTGGCTGTTCGTCCGCATCGGGAGCTGCTGCCACCCTTGCCTCGTTTTGCAGATCCTCGGGTGGAATTGCTGCTGGAACAGCAGCAGCACCATTATCTCCACCTCGTGCCTCTAATCACCAAAAAAGAGCAAAGTAAAGCTCGAAAAGGAGAAGAAGAAAAAGAAAAAGAAACCTGGGACTGGAGCATTGCGAGCTGGCTGTATAGGAGGAGGCATCATGATCCTCCTCGCTCTTTCCGAGGCCCAACGGAGTATTGGTGTCAATGCTCCAGTCTGATACCTGTCAAGAGCTCATAAGGACGCGAATAAATTCGCGAAAACAAAAACTTACAGGTAAACTATACTCGCCAGGAAGAGCAGTAGTAGCCGGTCACGAGATCCATCTTGGCTAAAGATGAATACCATCGTGATAAGCTTGAGAATTAGCAGCAAATCGAGATGGATGCCAACTTGAAACCTCCGGACGATGACTCTTTCTTGTTGATCCGGCCTGGCCCCTGCTGCTGCTTGACCTGCTGCCCCTTCTGTTGTTTCGGAAGGATCCTCTCTACCGAAAGGAATTCCCCTGGCAGCAATCAGGAATTTTCGAGAGTGTAGAACACCAAAGTTTTGCACGACAAGATAATTTAAAGCTTACAATGGAGCGCCGTATGCGAAAGGAACTGGCGGTAGGCTCGATCCCACCGCTGGGACGGCAAAAATGCCACCCTGACGCGAATTCTCATCCTGAGGAGCGGGATAAAGAGGAATCATCGGCATTCCAGAGACCGGATCGAAGACAACGGGGACATAGAATGGCGCCTGCAGGAGCATCGAGATGGCGAGATCTGCGAGGAATTGGAGAGCTCTCACCTGGAATTGGCCTTGCTTCGTTGTGCCTTGTTCTTCCATTTCGAACAAAAAACCCTAGGTAGTTCAAGAAGGTTTGGTGTTCGAATCCCTATAGAATCGTGGCTGCCTCGTTGTGTCCGTCCAAAATAAATGTACCGTTGGGGATCCGACGAGCAAGGGCAAATTCGTTTGAAGTTTTAGGGTTCTTGGGAATGAAGAAGAAGCCGCCAAGCCCTCCTCCATTCTCGGAATCGACGGGTCTGCTGGAGCTTGTGACGCCGCCCAAGCCGCATTTAGTCGATCGGCGCCTGGATGCGTCGTCTTGCTGCCGGCAGTTGATGCTGCAAGGTACCAGATCTTGAGGGCTAGGTTTTCTCTTTCTCGCCGATAAACTTGTCAATTCTCTTCCAGAATCTCCTCAACGTGATGCCGCTGTCGGGAAAGAGAATCGCTCGGCTCGAAAATACAAGCAATCAAAGGCGATGAATGCCAAGAACGTTTTGGGGGAACGAAGCGTGAATCTTGATCGTGGAGCTGCTCCGGAGCAGAATGTAGCAGAGCAGGTTGAAATTTTGGCTGAAAATCTCAACGATCAGGAGCCCCGGCTGGCAGACCAGTCAGGACGTGAGAATCTTGACAGAGGCGGAAGCGCTGAGAAGATGGAAGATCAGGCCAAAGAAAGCTTGGTACCTGGTGCAGTGACGGCATTTGTGATGGATCCAGCCGAAATTCAAGAAGGTGGAGAGGTGATGGAACTTTCTCCGAATCTTAGCGACATATCCAAGACAATTCTCGACATTCTCGAGGACGACAGCACGGAAGTGGAGAAGCCGCCGTATCATCCAGTATCAAACCCATTTTCACCACGCCCTCGGTTCTTAAGGCTCAAGCGAGGTGGGAAAGCTCAGCAGCCTTACGATCCCGAGTCCAACCCACTATCTCCAAGGCCAGAGTTTCTGAGATACAATCCTGTCAAGCACCGGGAGTTTGTGCAAGCACACGAGACTGGTCGGGTCGAGAAAGCTTTGGTTTTCTCGGACGTTGGCAGTGACGACGGTCAAGCTCCAGAGTTGCCCGGTTTGAAGCGAAGTGCCTCTTGTCCCGATCTGACCATCACAGACGACCAACTTCCACTGCCACCTTTGGGAAAAACTCCGGCTGTTTCGCTCGAAGGAAAGGCACAGGCAGACACGCAGGAATGCAATCACAAAATCCCAGTAGCTTCTGGACAGAGCATGATCTTGAGAAGAGCGTTGCTTCTACTGCTGTCTCTCAGCTTTCTTGCGACAGCCTGCGTCGAGCTACGAGGTCGCTCTGGTTTCTTCAGGGACTTGGGACAGAAAATAGTGTTTCGGACGCCGGAACGGAGAACCTCGGAAGCTGAAGGCTATCCCGGAAACTGGGGAATCGTAACCGGTGTGTCCAATCACTCCCTGCTGATGGTACCCGAAGTCCGCGAGAGGATTCTTCTGTCGGTTTATGGTGAAGATGGGGATGATGCTGTGATCACTTCAACGACAGATGAGCTAAGGAACGTGGAAGTTGCGGCAGCCTTGACCGACACAGAGGTTTCGGAAGCAAATGAGCCAGGAAGTGTCGAGGCGGCAAGCGACGAAGTTGATATGGTGGCGGAGCAAAAGAACGCTGAGGCAAAATTGGCAGAGAGTAGCGGAAAGTGCTCGAGGTTTGAGTGGGAGGAAAGCGTGGCGAAGATGTGTCTGGAGAAGACCATCTTTCGGCATACCCCAGGTGGTGAACTTCCCGTTCCGACAACTACAACGTTTGAAGCAGCGGCTACAGAGATAGAGGGCTTGGAGGATGCGGCATTGCTCGAATTCTTCAAGAGCATAGCTGGGGAGCCAGTGGATCACACAAGAAACTCGAGCACGCCCGGTTTGCTTGGACAACGCTTCGCCAACATGCTGGGCTCACTGTCGAGAAGCTTGAGGACTTCACTGTGGAGCAAGCTAGCAGTTGAAAGCTTATCGGTGCTCGGTGTTGCCGCCACGGCTATCATCTGGCTGAGGAAGAGACGACGGGCAGGCGTAGCGCGCGCCTCAGCAGCAGCACCACTGGCAACATTTTCTCGTCGCGGAAAAACGCAAAGCGCTGCAACTCGAGAGACGATGACCACCACCAGCAGTGAAGAGAGCGGATCGGGCAGCACCAGCACAAACGAAGGCTACGGTAGCTTCACTGCGATGGAACCACTGGATTCGCGGGTAAGTTCTTCCTCGCGTTGATTCATTCAAGCTCTTACATACTGTTTATCTGCTTGAAACCAGGGAGAGATCAAAATCACGCCGGTGAGAAGGTCTAGTAGGATACGAGGCCGTGGTACTCAGTCACCGATGCTCAGAGCGTAAATCTCCAGAGAACCTTTGGATGAATTGAAAGAAATAATCGAACGAAGAAGAGAATATACCCAAATTATTTTAAATCACGAGGGATTTAGGGTTCTTCGCGGGGTATGGCCGTGTCCGTGGCAGCGGAATGGAGCGCCATCGCCAACAGGTACTACCGGAAGCAGGAGATCTATCGCATGGCGTGGCACAATGTGGAGCTGAGCGGCCACAAGGTAGCGTGCGCGCGATTCGGGGGGATGATCGCCATTATCAGGGACGACACCAAGATCGTCCGGCTCCGATCCGAGCCAGCTCGCCCCAAGCTTCTGATATTTCGATCCTCCGGCCTGCTGGTCGCATCGATAACCTGGGACCGGCCCGGCGGCCGATTGATCGCCATGGGATGGTCCGACGAAGAAATCCTCCACTGTGTGATGCAAGACGGGAGTGTGTTTCGATATGACGTCCACGGGAAGCTGCTACCCGATAAGGTCTGGTTTGGACAGGAATGCTGGGATCAAGGGATCATGGAATGCATCATCTGGGGAAATGGGATCGTCTGCCTCACCGAGGCCAACGCGGTGTTTTGCATCCCGGATCTCGGCTCCCCGCAGTTCGTGAAGCTCGCGCAGCTCACTCTGGAAGATCCTCCTCACTGTATGGCGATCATAGAGCCCCAGCACACGGTGTCGGGGAGTGTGGAGGTTTTGCTCGCGGTGGAGTCGACTGTGATGGTGGTGGATGGCGGATCCATCCAGGATCAAGGGACGACGATAGGACCGCTCGGGAAGATGGTAGCTTCTCCTAACGGGAGCTACGTCGCGTGCTTCACTCACGATGGACGGCTTCTGGTCGTCACCAGTGACTTTTCAAAGACCATCTCGGAATTCGACACTCAGGTTGGACGCAAAGAAACACTTTTTCTGGTTCTTAGTGTTGCATGCTGTTTTGCAGTCTGCTCTACCGCCCGAGCAGCTCATATGGTGTGGAATGGACAGCGTTTTGCTCTACTCCGACGACAGTGTGCTCATGGTTGGTCCTTACGGCGATTGGACCAAGTACACTTACGACGAGCCTGTAGTGCTTATTCCCGAATGTGATGGCGTCCGAATCCTGTCCAACACGTTCATGGAGTTTCTCCAGCGGGTGCCGGACACGACGGTGTCTATTTTTTCGATTGGGAGCACGTCTCCGGGGGCAATGCTCTACGATGCTTACGACCACTTCGCGAAACGCAATGCCAAGGTTCGTGGCTTGATGCTGGTGTTATTGTATCTTTGACATAAAATGCTCTACAGGCCGATGAAAGTATCCGAATGGTTGGTTCTTCTATTCCTGACGCTGTTGAAGCGTGTATAGATGCTGCTGGACAAGAGTTTAGGATGGAGTTGCAAGACACGCTAATGCGTGCAGCAGTTTATGGTAGAACTTTCTGCAGGTATGCTGCCATCTACACTGAAATGTTGCACATTCTTTCTCCTGGCAGACGCTTCTCGAAGACCCGCATACGTGAAACGTGTAAGACATTACGAATACTGAATGGCGTAAGGGATCCAAATGTTGGCATTCCCCTGACGCTGCAGCAGTTGAAGGTGCACACTTTATTGATTTTGTATCAAGGTCACGCATTCCTTTCTACAGGTTTTAACTTTGCCAGTCCTTATCGAGCGACTTGTGAATGAACACAAGCACTTACTTGCCATCAGGATGTCGGAGTACATGGGTCTTAGTCCAGTAAGCCTTTGAAACCATTCAAGTTCTGCAATACCGAGCTCTGCCAGGCAGGAAACAGTTGTAGTTCATTGGGCAGGCGCGATGATTACCGCGGCCACCTCAGTACCAGACCCAGAACTATGCAACCTTCTACTGGAGAAGGTACCTTTATGCAAGTCTTACATGCTCGTTTAACTTTCGTGTTACCAGCTGAAAATGTATTCTGTGTCATACGCTGCAATTGCTGCTCATGCTTACAGAAATGGCCGGCGAACTCTGGCTGCACTTCTTCTGGAACACGAACCACGGTCTTCCGAACAGGTATGTTGAATGGCATAAGAAAAAGCTGGTCATCTGTTGTTTTTCAGGTTCCCCTTTTGACTAGCATGGGAGAAGAGGAAAAAGCTTTGGGGAAAGCCATCAAGAGTGGAGATACAGACCTTGTTTACTTCACGTTATTTCATCTATGGCAAAAGGTACGCCTTCGTCTATTCTCAAGTTAACACGCGGATGAACTTTTTGCGATTGTAGAAATCACCGTCAGAGTTTACACGTGCTGTTCAAGACAAGCCTCTTGCTCGCAACCTTTTTATCGCCTATGCGAGGTAAGCTGTCGGTTAACTATGCAAGCCTTTCATTTGTTTTCTCTTTGTTTTAGACAAAATGAACCCGATGTTTTGAAGAAGTTCTTCGCATCAATTGGACAACTTCATGTACGTCTTTGTTGCTTTGTTTATTTATTATGAATCCGAGTTGCAGAGGGTTGGCGAGCTTCTGTTATGGGAAGCGTGGGCGCAATCCAAAAATCCTGTCACTCGACAAGGATCTCCTCTTCAAGGGCCTCGAATTCGTCTTATAGAAGAAGCTCAACGCCTGTTTTCTCACAGCAAGGAGCACGACTTTGAGGCGAAAGCTTGTGACGAGCAAGCACGGCTACTGAAGTACGCTAGTTTTTATGTGATCGACATCCCATTCTACTTTTTTATTCCACAGGATCCAGCAGGAACTAGAAGCAAAAACTGGCAAAGCGATTTTCGTGGACACCAGTGTCAGTGATACGATTCGGACATGCATTGTTTTGAAAAATCACCGAGAGGCGCAAAGGATTCGTGTCGAATTCAAGGTAGTCTTTTCTCGCTTGGAATAATCTCCATTGTTTCCGTATCAGGTCCCAGACAAGCGATTCTATTGGCTCAAGGTTCTGGCGCTTGCATACATCAAGGACTGGGACGCGCTCGAAAAGTTTTCGAAAGAGAGAAGGCCGCCAGTTGGTAAGAAAAAGCTCAGCTCCAAGTCTTTTGCTTCACTTCTCTGATTCTCTCGTCCAGGATTTAAGCCCTTCGTCGAAGCTTGCCTACAAGAAGGCCAGACCTCCGAGGCACTGAAGTACATCCAGAAGCTCTCAGATCCCGAAGAGAAGGCCGAGGTATGAACTTTGTTTTCGTTCCGAGAAGCTAAAACTTTGGGAAACTCCAGGCGTATGCTCAAGCTGGAATGGCCAAAGAAGCAGCGGAAGTGGCGGCGCAAGCCAAAGACAGCGAGATACTTGGCCGTCTCAAACTTACATTCGGCCAAAGCACCACCGCCGCCGCCCTGTTTGATTCGATTCGCGATAGATTGTCTCTCCAAGGAGGCTAAATCCGAGCAAGGAATATACCCCGTTTTAAAACCATCGTCCCATTAGGGCTCTTGAGAATTAGGGTTTTGGAGGAAGAACCCTAGGCGGCGGCGGCGGGGCAAGATGAAGAACAATCCGGCCGTCAGCAGCTCCAGGCGCAAGTGCCGGAAGGCGCATTTCAGCGCGCCATCAAGCGTGCGCCGGATTTTGATGAGCGCGACGCTGTCATCGGATCTGAGGAACAAACACAATGTAAGATTTCGATCTCTGGGGAGTGCCTGCTTTCTCCTGATTGCTGCGCGCTTGCTCTGTAGGTGCGCTCGGTTCCCATTCGCAAGGACGACGAGGTCCAGATCGTCCGCGGCTCGTTCAAGGGCAGGGAAGGCAAGGTCACCCAAGTTTACCGCAAGAAGTGGGTGATTCACGTCGAGCGCATCACTCGCGAGAAAGTGAACGGTGAGAAGCACGGGGTTCTCCTCGATCTGTGGTTGATCCCTTTGATCTTTCAGGTGCTACTGTGAACGTTGGTGTTCATCCATCCAATGTGGTGATCACCAAGTTGAAGCTGGACAAGGACAGAAAGGCGCTGCTGGACAGGAAGGGCAAGGGACGCGCTGCCGAGAAGGGCAAGGGCAAGTTCACGGCCGAGGACGTTGCTCCGCCACTCCAAGAAGTGGATTGAGTGAGCTTGTCGACGTAGTCTCTCCTCTCACGAAATTGCAAGTCTCCAGGATTTTGGCTTTCTAACTTTTTATAAGTGATGAGCTTTCTCTCGTTTGTCTTGTGGAAGTGCGATTGGAAGTTTAGCTGGTTTGCAAATCTAGAAACTAATGCGTATGATTTGTCGGTCACGAACATCTCTTGTTTGTGTTGTTGATGAGTTCTCTCTCGTTTGTGCTGTGGAAGTGTGATTGGAAGTTTCGCTGGTTTGCAAATCTAGAAACACGCCTCAACTAATGCATTTTGATTTGTCGAAGTCACGAACAAAATAGCCTATCTCTTGTTTGTGTTGTTGATGAGTTTTCTCTCGTTTGTGTTGTGGAAGTGCGATTGGAAGTTTAGCTGGTTTGCAAATCTAGAAACACGTCTCAACTAATGTGTATGATTTGTCAAAATAGCCTATTGTCAAGTCGGTGAGATCTTTTAGTTTGAAGGCGACTCGTTTTTCTTGTTTTCTCGTGGTCAAGATCCTTTTGAAAAATCAAAGCACGGCATCGGCAGTACGTCGGTGGTACCGTGCTACGTGATCGTTCGTCCTTTAGGGAGAAATCGACAGCTAAGTGAGTTTCTTGCTCTAGAAAATTTTGATCACTATACAAAACCGTGCACAAAAATGTACATGTAAATTGTTTTGTGTTTAGTACATACTTTTACAAATAATGTATGGAACACACCACAAAATTCCCTCTCCAACCAGAAGATTTTCTCTCCAAACCAAACTCCAAACCAAATTATATAAATTTTTGCTTCTCTGGTTGAGCTGTATACAATCTACTTATAAAGATTCATGTCTGTCACACACTTCAGTAGTGTATATGATTCTACAGGCTTGGGCAAATCTTCTTCGTTGTGGGTTTGCATGTACTGCAAAACACTCTCAAATAAAGGCACTCGGCAGGGAATAACAAGCTCCCCTTTCTCGCAAAATCCATATACCTCTTTCGACTGATTTAGCATGATTTGAAAGAAGGAATGATTCAAATAACTGATTGGGATCACGAATCTCTCCCTACGAGGACCTACATAAACACATATATGCCCCTTTGGAACTCCCTTACCCTCTCGGAGCTCTGAAAACTTTTGGCCAAGCAAATCCTTGAACTTTTTGCTTTTCATTCGAGGCAAAAGCATCACTCCGCCACTGCTTTCCATTGCTCCACCGCTACTTTCCATTGCTCCACTACTACTTTCCATTGTATCACAAATTGGAGCAATTGGAGAGGAGGAGACGCGGAGATTTGAGCAATAGAAACGAAAGAGAAAACTGAGTGAATTACCTAGAAACTGAAGAGAAGCACAGACGTGCCTAAAATTTCCAACAAGAGTCCTTGACCCCACAAAAAAGAATACTTTTAAAAACATTTTCTTTATCACAACCGTAAGATCAACTACTTGATCTGACGGTCCCTGCAATTCAAATCCTCAGAAAAATGCGCAGCAAGAAGCGGCCATGGCGAGAAACTCCTGGTAAGGTGCTATTTCTTCTTGTTCCGGGTTTTGTAGCAGATTCTTAGCTTTAGAGGGTCAAGAGGATGATTCAAAGCTGCCGCTCTCTCTACTGGATCGCGCGGTGCCGTGGAAGGCACAGTCATGGAAGCAAATGGCGGGTATTGGCGGGCTAGCCGGCGAGTTTCGGGTTGGAACCTCGGGCTACATCTACAAGCACTGGAGGGGTGTCGTGTATCCCCGGAGTTCGGCTCAGAAGGACTGGTTTCGACTCTACACGAATCTGTTCGACACGGTGGAGATCAACAACACGTTTTATCGCCTTCCAGAGCGCAAAGTTTTTCAGGAGTGGCACGATCAAGCTCCAGAGAATTTTTGCTACGCTCTCAAGTATAGTAGGTACTTACTCGAGCTTTCGGATCCCTTGATCTTTTGCTTTGTTGTGCTGCAGGTTTGGAACACATATGAAGCGCCTTAAAGACCCCGAGAATCACGTAAACTTGTTTCTCGATCGCTCGGTTCCACTCCACGCAACTTGTGGACCAGTTCTAGTGCAGGTATGGATCGCTTTTATCGTTTTCTATATACTTCTGCGTGCTTGAGAGGTGAATGATTTTCTACGCACACAGCTGCCACCGAAATTCAAGCTGGAATTGGAGCGGCTGAAGGAATTTCTCGACAGGCTTCCAACAAATATCCGCTGGGCGGTCGAAGTACGAGACTCGAGGTGGCTATGTGACGACGTCTACGAGCTTCTCAAGCAGCACAACGTCGCTCTCTGCATCCACGACCACGAAGACATAGTTGACAAGCATCCAAAGGCAAGCCTTTCTGGTTTCGCGCTCCTGCTCGGTCGTTTTCCACCGAAAGGATGCAAGAACTTTTCTCTTGTTCTTGTTCCAGGTGATTACCGCCAGCTGGTTGTACCTGAGATTCCATGGAAAGAACTATCAGCACTGCTACACAGCCCAAGAGCTGGACCACAGCAGCACTTGGATCCGCGAGCAGCTTGCCAAAGGACTGGACGTGTTTGCTTACTTCAACAACGATGCCGACGGGAATGCTGTGACCAACGCACTGGCTCTACGCAATCTCGTCTGTGGTGGCTCCTCCAGTGCGTGACTTTCCGCCGGAAACAGTACAGTCGCTTTTGGAAACAGTTTTGGAAGAGCTGAGATTGATCCGCTCGCACTCCTCCACCACCAAGTAAGTCAAGTGGTGCTCTCGTCTTCACGCCATGACCGTGACTTTCACAGGAAATCCCGGCGGGGACGCAGATCCTTCGAAGAAAAAACGAGCTTTCTTCCGACAGTGGTAAACAAACTACGGCGCTTTTCTCTTTCTTGTGATCGCGGGTTTGCTGAATCGTGAAGCTTAGTGGAAAGCGAAGCGTGGAGTAAAGCGCCAGGAAATTCGTGAACTTTTTATTTTGGTGGGGATGGATGAGCACAGGATCAAGCCAACATTCTTCTACCGCGCGAAAAGTTTACTTTAAACTTTTGAAGTGTTTGTGTGCGTAACGTTTTTGCCACGTGCTCTGACCAATGATTTACTCGGAGTGGATCTCCGCCGTTGGCTATCTTGGAACGAATGCTAGGGCTTGACGAACGCGGGGACTTTCGATCGATATAGACACGAGATTTAGGTCTTGTTCTTCCGTCTAGATCATATGGGAGGCGATTTCTCCAAGCCGGATCCTCACTACGATAGCTACGACGCGTCGCCGTCTCCGCGCGTCCAGCCCACCTCTCCGCCGAAAGCTAAGATTCACCGCCGCTTCTCCACGAAGTACTCGCACATCGCCGATAATTTCGCTAGCATTGAGGAGGTATGATCGCCGAGAAGCAACGATCTCATGGAAATTTTGCCTCACTGGAAGTGGAAATTTTTTGTTTTGGTCCTTCTCTCCATCCAGGTACAGCAAGAATTGCGAAGAACAGGCCTCGAGTCCTCCAATTTGATCGTTGGCATCGATTTCACCAAGAGCAACGAGTGGACTGGAAGGATCACTCATCAAGGGAAGAGTTTACACGCAATCGGCGATGGTAGCGTGCCAAATCCTTACGAGCAAGCGATTTCTATCATCGGGAAAACCCTCTCCGACTTTGATGACGACAACTTGATTCCTTGCTTTGGCTTTGGAGATGGTACGAATGCTTTGTTTTTCTTTCACGAAAGCTCTCTACTTTGGACCGACTCGGCTCTCTCATTTTCCAGCATCCACGCACGACAACTACGTCTTTAGCTTCTACTCGGATCACCGCCCCTGCCATGGTTTCGAGGAAGCTCTTGCAAGGTACCGTGCCATCGCTCCTCACGTCCGGCTCGCTGGTATGTTCCCACGAAGAAGAAGATCTTTCGAGTGAGTTGACATGGTCTGGCAATTTTTTCGCAGGACCGACTTCGTTTGCTCCCATAATCGAGGCTGCAGTAAGAATAGTGGAACAAAGCGGTGGTCAGTATCATGTTCTCGTGATCATTGCCGATGGCCAAGTAAGTGACTGCTTGTTTTTTTGTTTCCTAGGATCAAATGTGGGGCCGTAACTTATACTAGCTCGTGTTTCTGCTTTTCCACAGGTAACAAGAAGCGTAGATACGGAGGTCGGGCAATTAAGTCCTCAAGAGAAGAGCACGATTGACGCGATTGTGACTGCGAGGTACGCTTCGTTTTCTACTATTTTTCCTGTGCCTATGCCTTCCACTCTTTTGCAGCAACTATGCGCTGTCGATCGTTCTTGTTGGAGTTGGCGATGGTCCTTGGGATATGATGAAAGAGTTTGACGACAACATCCCCAGACGAGCATTCGATAACTTCCAGGTACCCCAAACATTGACGTCAATTTGTCATGCTAAACTGTGCTCGTTTTGACAGTTCGTTAACTTCTCCCAAATCATGTCGAAGAAGCTGCCTCTCCATAAGAAAGAAGCATTGTTCGCATTATCAGCACTCATGGAAATCCCAGCTCAGTACAAAGCAACGGTAGAACTTGAAATCTTGGGGTAAGATTGCTTCTTTAAAAGGATTTCCGTTCTTATTCGTCTTTAACTTCAGGCGAAGATCTGGAACTGCGACTAGTTCTCTTCCTTTGCCACCTCCTGTACAAGTATTGCAAGCGGACTCTCAGTTTCACGTTGAGCCATCGTCGTCTGGTTACTATCCTCCAGCTGAAAACTACTACACTCCACCTGGATTTTCACCTACGGCACCGAGGGGCGTGGACCTTCCAGAAAGCCAGGTACGTTTCACTGTTCCGGACAAACTCTTAAGATGAACGCTCTTGTTTTCCAGGTGTGCCCGATCTGTCTCACGGAGAGAAAGGACTTGGCTTTTGGCTGCGGGCACCAGGTATGCAAACACCATTTCTTTGGTCTTTGGAAACTTGTCAAACGTGTTGTTTCCATTATGTCGTCATGGCAGACATGCAGGGAGTGTGGTGCCAGTTTGACGAACTGTCCGATTTGCAGACAGGAGATTTCGACTCGAATTCGGCTGTACTGAAAGACTGGAGCTGGGATTCGCGCGGCCGTTCGTGTACAGGCAAAGGATTTGTTTTTCGAGGGAGGTTCGTGGTTTGCTACAGTTTTGTCGCAAGGAATCGGCGACCAAGAGCTTTGACACTGGAATGATACCGCTGTAATTCTTTCTCGCGACTCTCAGGGAGGGAATCTTCTCCCCGCAAATCGTTTCTTCCTTCTCTTTTGGTTTCTTTTCCTTCCGTCTTTGTTTTCAAAGGGGTCGTACTTTGTGATGTTGACGCAGACTTTCGGATGATTCGAAACCATTTTTTCTCTTTTTTGCCACCCCTCTCTGTGTAGAAATTTTTTTTCCTTGGATTCCGTACTCCCCAGAGCCGGGACGTGCCCGGACCATCCATCAACCTTGGCACTTTAACATTGTCTTCGAATTTATCAAATAGAAACATGGTTAGATTATCCGTCACCTAACAGTGAGTGTTGAATGTTAGGTGGGTGTGGAGTGAAGCGAATTGGTAGCTCAACCGAGAGTTGCCTATGTCATCACGATTGGTGACCCTTAACTACTAGCTATAATGCGAGCGAGTGCGCAAACTTTTTCTAAGATGGAGATGTTTAGCCTGTTAATCCTGAATGAGGGTCGTGAGTGAGATTTTTTATATAATGTAAGGTTCTTAGCGTTCCGCGGGGGCCGTGTTGGTCGGTCTATGAGCAAAGCCTCACGTAACCTAGTAGGATTTCAATTATCTCTTTCTTTTTCTTTTGTATTTTTGCAACGAGCTTGACTTAAACGAGACTGGGATGTTTGAACTAGAAACTCGTATTAATATGCGTATTTAGAGTCAATCGTGTCCCAGATGTGTATAGTTAGTCTCGTCTACTCTCAAGATCCCTTGCATTGTGCACAGGGGCTTGAATGGAACGCACACAGGGCCGAGATCCAGTCGGGCCAAGGAAAAGGAAAAAGAAAGAGAGAAAAATGTGAATGCTGGAGTTTAGACTTCCACGGTGATCCTGTGACAAGGTTTTCCACTCGGTGACTTGGCAACCAAGTCAATGAGGCTCATCAAGGAAGGGCGGTGGCAGCATATTACCGACACACAACCACGGAAAAGGATAGATCTAAACCGAATCCCAGCGATTCCTCTTATAGATGCCAGCGTCTTTTCGCATGCGGTGACGAGAGGTTTTGGATCGCGGCGGGCACTTGCGACTTTGTGGACTAGATCGGCCATAAAAATTTGGGTGAAACTTGTGGATGGTCATCGTCAAGGACACGTAGAGAGGCACAAGCCCCGGGCCAGCAACACAGTGGTCAGGCTGTGCGGCCAAAGGGAAGCGTTGCTTGCATCCTCCACGTACGTAAACAAAGAAAAAAGAGAAAGGGAGGATGAGAGAGAGAGAGAGAGAGAGAGAGAGAGAGAGAGAATGGACCCCTCCTTTTGGAAGGAGGGGCCAGGGGGAGATAGGAGATACAACCACAAGGGTCACAACTAGTGAATTGTTTGTTTTCTTGGGTGGCCGCACCAATGGTTTTTGGCCGGATGTGATCGTTGGCAATGCCAAAGGTGCCGTGTTGGAGGCAAACTGGCCTAGTAGCAAGGCCCAGCCACAACGTTTATCTCAAGGTTTGCCGATTTTGATTTTGCCGTGGACCCTTGCATCAAAAGCCACTATATTATACTACGCAAGAATTATACGCCACATACATGCATATATTTTAAGGGCCGGGGATGTCTATGCCCGGGACACATGCCATGTGAGCCGGTAACGTAACTATACGTAACCAGCCGTGTGTGGGAAACCACCGGTATGCCATGCTTGCCAAAACTTAACAGCAAGCAAACAAGGTAGGGTAAGTGGGGAAGGGACGGCTTAAATGCAGGCTGACTGTCCCCACCCACGCAGCTGCAAACCTGAGGTACCCAGTTTCTTCTTTTTTATTTTTAATGCCTTTTTTTACTCATTTTTCTTCCCCTTTTCTGTGGGTTTTACTATTGCTATTTACCATACCATGGTGGTAAGGCATGTGTTTGATCATGGTGAGCAGGCAATGTACTTGTGAGAGTGGTGTAGGTGCAGAAATGAACAAACAAGGCACACACACAAGTTCTGCACACACACACAAATCTTAAGAGGGGGTTTGCAGCACACACACTGGAGCAGCAGCAGACACCAGCAGCACACAGCAAGGATGGAGATGAGGTGAATTGAATGTAACACACACCACACCACACACCACACCATACCACACACCACACACCACACCACACACAAACCTCTCTCCTTTTTTTTTCTCTCCCCCTGTCTTTCTAAAAGTGGGAGCAACTTAACCCAAGAGCCTACTACACCTCCCCCCCTCTCTCATTTTCTTCCCATTCATTTGATCTCCTAGTTTAATAGGAGGTAAAAAACTTTTTGTGGGAGCTTGGGGGGTTGGGGGTTTGGTGAATTGGTGGTGTTGGGAGCAGGAGAGAGCAAGCACCAGGTAGCACAGATCTGATCCATTCTGTAGCTTAATTGATCCAAAGGCTCCCTTGCTACAGTGTACTGTGCAACCAAGAATTCAGGGGAGAGAGCATCAGCAGCAGCAGCAGCAGCAGCAGCAGCATCAACAAGAACAAGAGTAGGGGAGAGAAAAAAAAAGATCTTTTAGACACCAAGTGAAAAGCAGAGCACCCCAAAACAAGGGAAGTGGGAAAAGGGAGAAAAGAGAAGCTGAGATATGGAAGAAGAGGGAACAAGAAGCAGGAACTGGCTATGGCTGTGGAGGGGAATATTCGCGTCTCCCATCGTGGAGGAGGGAGAATGGAGGGCAAGGGAGGGGTAAGAGGAACCCAGGATTGGACTGGAGTTGGGCTAGGAGAGCTAGTTCTAGTTTGGTCTTCTCTTTTTTTTCCTGGATTCCCCTCTCTCTTCTCTCTCTCTCTCTCTCTCTCTCTCGCGTGGTGTGTGTGCGCATTGATTCAGGTGTAGGACTTTCTCGCTGATTGATGGTCCATGGAAGATCAAGCGCTACCGTGTTGATCGGGGTGGGAGGATCCCCATGGCGGCATCCAGTGATTCGGAGAGTAAGAAGAGCAGGAAGGAGGAATTGGGGGGCGGTGGGAGCAGCAAGGAGGAGAAATCCGATACCGCGGCGGGCGGGTCAGATCAGGCCCAGCAGCAGCAGCAGCAGCAGCAGCAGCTGGCGGTGGTGCCATCGCCGGCCGCCGGCGGAGGCGGCACGGCCAATGGCGCGGGCGGTACCGCCGGCGGTACGCAGCCGGCGGCAGCATCCTCCGCCGCGGCGGCTGCCAAGGAGCGCGACTACATCTGGACCGAGGACGCTGTGCACGTCCTCCTGGATCACTTCCTGGAGAAGTACATGAGCTACGAGAAGGGGATGATCCGCAACGCCGACTGGGTGGAGATCGCGCAGCGCGTCAACCAGCAGCTGGAGGGGAACAAGCCCGTCAAGACGCCCGAGCAGTGCAAGAACAAGGTGGACAATCTCAAGAAGCAGTACCGCAAGGAGCGGCGGCGCGGATCCCTTGGCCCCTCCAGCACCAATTGGGCATTCTTCTCGCGGATGCACGACATCTTCGAGAGCGATTACAAGAAAACAGGGGGTGGTGGCGGCGGTGGAGGTGGCGGCGGCGGCGGAGGAGGAGGAGACCGAGATCCTGGCGGCGCGAGCGAGGACGTACCACCGCAAAACAATTCCAATCCCGCCCCCGCCGCCGCCGCGGCTGCCAACAACATCGAGGACGCCCACCACCACCACCGCTTGCGATCCGCGGTGGTGCCGGATCACTACCTGGCGTCGCGCGAGTTCATCCGCAAGCAGCAGGAGGAGCTGATGCAGTACAACAAGCGGCCATCGCGACGGAGCGAGACGCCGCCGCCGGGGTCTGGCGGCGCGCCGATCTCCCAGCAGCACCACCCACACCACCACCACCACCACCCCATGATGCTACTGCCCGAGTCCTCACACATGGCCTTCCCGCCGCACGCATCCAATCACCACCACCGCGAGTCCGGCAGCACGCCCGCGCGGAAAAAGGCCAAGTCGGACCGGCACGAGCAGCACGGCGTCCCGCACGGCATGACGCACGGCATACCGCAGCGGCACCACGACCAGCGGCACTTGCAGCCGGCGGGGCCGCCGCAGCACCACGCGGAGGGATCGGGGCCGCCGTCGTCGGACTCGGGCGGCGGGGGTGGTGGCGGTGGAGTGGCTGCCGTGGAGGGATCCACCAAGCACGAGCGGAAGCTCCACCGGCACCAGCTCGCGGCGCTGCGGCGCGACTTCATGGAGGGATTCACGGGCTTCGCGGAGGTGATGCTCAAGATCGAGGTGGCCAAGATGGAGATGCAGCGGGATCTGGAGCGGCAGCGGGCGGAGATGGAGCTCCACCGCACGCAGATGATGTTGAGCAACCAGCTCCAGCTCGCTAAGTACCTCAAGGCCAGCCCGATACCGCACGGCATGCCGCCCGACGGCGGCGGGGCGGGCCCCTTCTGGCCAAACTTCGGCTTCACCGACGCGAATGCCAATGCCGCCGGCGGTACCGGCGGCCCCGGCGGCACGACGCCGCGGCTCCAGCTCGCCATCCCGATCTTCCCGGACTTTACCGCGCTGGATGCCGTGGGGCCTTACGAGGTACTGCATTTGCTCCCCAACGTGGAGGTGCTGTTTGTGAGCCACCAGCCTGGGCTGTACGCCGCCGGCATGGGAATGCTCACGTTGCAAGCCACCGCGTCATTCGACCAAGTGACGCGGCCGCAAATCCTCGTCGTGCCCGGCGGTATGGGCACCCGGAGGCTGCTCCAAGACCGAGTTATACTCGACTGGATCCGAAAGGTACGTTTTCTTCTTTAATGGCTTGAGTGGAGACAACAAGTTTTTGTTGTTTGCTACTGATCAACTTGGCTGCTTCTGTCCTCGTTCCACTCGATGCCTACTAAAGTTTCGATTTTTTCGTTGCTTTTGGTGGTGGTTCTTCCAGGTTCACGAGCATACCCTCTACACTGCTTCCGTTTGCACTGGATCGCTGCTGCTCGGTGCTGCCGGATTGCTAAAAGGCATCGAGGCAACCACGCATTGGAACTCGCATGAGCTGCTAGCGGAATTTGGAGCCAAGCCAGTATCCTCGAGGATAGTCCGCCAGGTTGGTTTCAATCACCCGCGCTCCTGTATAACTGTTTGTTCTTCCAGGGGAAGATCATCACTGCTGCTGGAGTGTCCGCTGGGATCGACATGGCTCTTCAGCTGGCCGCTCTTCTAACGGACGAGGCCACCGCCAAGACGCTCCAACTTTTCATCGAGTATGATCCTCAGCCTCCGTTTGACAGCGGCTCGGTGGCCAAGGCCGGGCCCGAGGTGGTGAGCAGGGCCAAAGAACTGTCATCCAAGCGACTCCAAGCCGTGGCTGGTGCCAGTGCTGCTGCTGCCGCTGCCGCCGCCGCCGCCGCTGCTGCTACTTCCAGAGCTCCAGCGTGAAGCAGAGAGAAGAAAAGTCTACTTGTTCTACGATGCTGCTGCTGCTGTTGTATGTACCAAAAGACGATAGAGGAGAGTGAGGGAGGGAGACGAAGAGCTCTAGAATCGAGACGAGGAACGAGCTGCGAACGACTGGAATTTCCTTTTCGGAAGAGCTTTGGTCGGGGAGAGAGATGATCCAGTTTTCCAAGAACACACCCGGAGAAAGAGAGGCTCCACAGCTCGAGAGTTTCCATTGATCATTGGTACGCTGCTGGGGCTCTCGCTCTCTTTTCATCTCTTTCTTTGCTCCATCTCTTTTTCTTCCCGCGGGACTAACAGTTCTTCTCTGCTAGCTCTCTCAGCTCTCTAAATTTTTTGTTCGTTTTCTTTTTTTCTTGGGCTCTCGTTCATACCGATTTGTGTACCGCTGCTGCTGCTGATTGATTGACATCACTGTGCGTTCGTTTTTTTTCCTTATATAAATTCTTGGTAGCCTCTGAGACGAATAAAGAAGAAAAGAACTTCCTTCCTCTGTGGCCGAATTTTGCCGCTAAAATTTGAAAGTTTAAATCTCTGTAGGGTTAGGGCACGAGGAGATGGCGACGGGCGATGGTGATGGCGATGGCGGTGGAAGCGACAACGCGAACGAGGTGGTGTAGGTTTTTCTTGCCCAATCTAGACACCTCGGACTGGGCGACGAGCTGGGAGGTGGTGATGGCTCCTCCGCAAGGCAGTGTGACAGCGGGTGATTTCTTGCCAAGGACAGGGCTTTGATTTCTCTTGCACCAAGACGGCAATGGTCACGAGAAACTTGTGAGAGATCTCCTCTGGAGGGCAAGAAAGCGTAGCAAGCATGCAGGGAGCTAAGCCGGGGGGCCGCAAGGAGGTGGAAAGGGAGAGGCGGAAAAGCTTGGCGTTGGATAGAAGGAAGACCGCGGCCATTAATCAGGGAAGCACAAGTGGAGCCGTAAAGAATTTCGGTCACAGCAGTACGCTCACGCCACGGACTCTGGTGAAGCGATCCCACCACAAGGAGCACGTCTTGAATGTGAGCGGCCTTCTTTTTCTTCCGCGAAAGCTACCACAGTATACTTTTCTTCCATCGCTCGCAGCTTGTGGTGGTGGTAATGGCGGTTGCTTTTCTAGATCCTTGCCGAGAAGAACTTGAGGATCGGAGCCTTCGGGAAGGTTGAGACGCAGGAGGATCAGCCGGCATGGAAAGCTCGGCCCAACGCACAGCAAAGCCCGCAAGTTCTAAACTTGAAGAAGAGGATGGAGCAGAGGAAGAGGCATATGACGCAGTACACGAAGAACAACACATTTGTGGACATCTTCAAGGTGGTATTTTTTCTAGTTTTTCTTTCGATTTTTTTTTTGCTTTTGTTATGTCGTGTTTAGATTCCATGCCTTCTCTAATCAAAACTTTTACCGTTCAGGACACTGAGGACCGCCGAACACCGCCAGCGACGGCAGGAATTGTTGTTGCCGGTACAATCGAGCTGGTTGCTCGTCAGGTTATTGAGAAGCACGCTGAGATCCAACACAGGTAAGCAAGCGCACACCTAAACTTCCAGAGTTAGATTGATATGCCTCGCTGAGAGTTATCCAACAGCGATGCGTGCTTGAGAGAAAGCGACCAAAACACATTTTTCTTCGTTTTTTTCTTTTTCTTGTATTTTTTATTTCTCTCTTTTTACGCTTGTGTGCGCTGTAGGTGAATGCAACTTGCATTGATGACTATCATCGTACTTGAGTGTGCAGAGAAAAGAAAGGAGTCTGGGCCCAATTAGGAAAGCCTTATGCGTGCTTTGGCTTACCAGCTTCGGCCATACCGAAGGACTGTCCAATGCCAGCCGGGGCTCCACCTGGTGAAATGTATCCTTTCTTTGGACACGCTCAGAAGCCGCAACTGTTAGAAGTCGGACAAGACGTTACAAAGTTTAGAAGAAAGCGTGCTCAACCTGTCACACGGGAAAGCTTAAACATGCAGGGCATGCTGATAAAGCTGGGCCTGCAAGGTAGGACTACTGATACTACTCACCTTTGTCACCCGTTTGCCTGTGATCTGATCCTACAAATTCTTTTCCTGAGTGATTTGCATGTTTTGTACAGACTAATGGACGGCGTTTGTTTTCATCAGCGTGTTCTCATATTTTCTGTAGGCAGTACAAAATTCCCAAGGGCACCTCTTGTCGAGGCAAATGACTTGAAGACGGCTGTGAAGTACGGTGGTGCTTGCTACACACTTGGGAGGTCCGTGCCTTCTTCAAAGCGTTCCAATTTTGACGGTATGTACTTCAGTGCCTGGCCTGCTTCTTTTTTCAGAACTTCTTCTTTGCAGGAAGAAGCAGGCTTTCCTTTGATCTAACTGAGCTGTTTGAAAGGTAAGATAATAGTATACATCTGGATTGATGTGCTGTGGCTCCTAATTCTCAGTTGGCGGAGCATATCTGGTGGATCACAGGTATGGCCCTTTCATAGTTTTTTACATGACTTGTAGCTGACTCCGACAAGGTCTATAGAGTGTTTTGGATATGGATTTTAGTAACGTGCCGCCGCCACGAATGCCTGGTGTGAGCTTGCCGCAGCTGGCGAAGTCACCAGCACCTCAACTTGAGCGTCCAAGCACCAGTGCTGGAGAACAGTCTTCGCATAGTCTGGTATTTTATTGTATGCTAAAGATCCCTGCGTCATAGATGTCGTCTTCCCTGCGCAGCTATATGGCTGGAAGAAAGGTTTTGCTGATACGAGGAAAAGGCTGCAAGACAAGCTTACACAGCGGCTAATGAATAGAACAGTTCGGCGAAGGCATTTTAGATCGTGTTCCCCTTCTACAGCAGAGGTATCCTGTTTGTTTTATTGACAATGCCGAAGTAGTTTCTCCTTTTGAAGATTTCGATCAAGCTTTTGGAACACTTAGAGGAACGGGGTGGTGGTTCTAAAACTCCACTACAGACAGGACACATCTGGTCAGCATCACTCTCAGAGAGATCTGATTCCTGACAAATCAGGTGGCAATGCAGGAAGGGTGTCGAAGATAAACAGAGAGAGATGGACGCGTCGGCTGTAGATCCGGAAGTGGAAGCTATCAGCAAGTTCTACGAGCGTGTGTGCATGTTTGTCAACAACCAGAAGATGGATGATCCACTTATGGACATGCTTGTCAGCCATCTTAAAGAGTAAGTTCGCTGTTTGATTGGGATTATTTTTCTTGTCCCTGTGTTTTATTCTAGACTGTTGGAAGAAGGCTACAAGCTGCAAAAGAATCTACTCATAGCTCTCTGCGAACGCTTGTCGAAGTTACAAGGTACTTTGTGCTTGGTCGGGTTTAACTTCTGTTCTTTTTCTTTCCAGATCACGTCGAGGCTACCGGGAGAATGACATGCTTGATGCCTATTCTCAACTTCATCTGCAAGGAGCTTCACCTCACGTCCGTGGAATTCAACTCCATTCTTGGCAGATTTGGCCTGGATTGGTACAACACTTTCACCAGGCCATCTCTCTCGGTGACACCAGCTCCATAGAGTTCTTCCGCTCAACGCAAACTCATTGCGGTGAACTTTAAGAGCGTCTGGATGTAAGTCCGACTCTATCATTCCCACCTTTCTCACCTTTCTTTTCTCGTTGGCTTGCAGAAATCAAAGGGAGGTGCCAAACCGTGCTGGCAAAAGTGTCCGCTTTAACTTCGAGAGGTAACATTATTTCCGTGGGATACAGAACGTCGGCTGGACTCACGAGAAACCCAATTCGTGGTCGGCGACTCTGGCCTTCGCATTTCGTATTTAAGCCTAACATTCTTTCCCTTCACTCCACTCATTCTTTCTTTTGTTTCCTGCAACCGCTATAGATCATGGCCGCAGCACGATCGACACTGGCAGCGCCACTTCTCATCCTCCTCCTGCTAGCTCTGGATCATCCGGCTCAAGCGAGAACCTCTCAAGGCAGTTGCAACTCAGTCCTGGGGAGGCTGGGCCCGTGCTTGACGTCCGTGCTTGGTTCCAAGCCGCCAGCTCCATCGCGAGCGTGCTGTGCAGCTGTTCACGCCGTCGCCCCGCGGCTGGTGTGCCGCTGCTTGCTGGGCGCGGCAAGAAAACTCAAGGGCGTCAACTTTAGCGCGGCCCGATCCATTCCGAGCAAGTGCCATGCCTCAGCCAGCTTCAAGTGTATATGATGTGATTCTCTTGTTCATGATCGAAATAAACGATATCCCTACCTTTTTTTACCCTTTTTGTGTATTTAAAATACTGAATGATAGGGTTCATAGACAAAGCTTGCGAAAAGAATGAGGGTGTTCCCTGGATTCCCTGTTGCCCAACGAGTAATCGCCGCTAGCAACTCGATTGATTTGCCCTACCACCTCCGGCCTCTAAAGCTCGGCTGCCGCGCTCTCCCCCAGCCCGTGGAAAACGAAAAGTTTGCCGTGGACGTGGACGCGAGCTTTGCATGGGACTCGGGCATTGTTGTACAGGAGCGCGGAGCTTGCGTACGGAGGAGAGCCTTCCTGATGGACCTGGACGACGAGGCGTTGTTGTGGAGGCAAGTCCCACCGTTGGATTTCCCCAGCGTGGAGTCGGCCGCGACATGCAACGGTCGGATCTACGCCCTGGCCAGCGGCGCCGTACACGCGTACGACGGGGTGGCGTGGCGGCGGCTCGAGGAGCTCGGCGCCGCGTGCCTGGAGAGGCTGTTTAGCGTACGCAACCGGCAGCTGGTCGGGGCCTTTGTGTACGGAGGCCCGAGGTTGGAGCTCCGGGCGCTGGATCCGGTGACCCAAAGTTGGTCGCGGGGCTTTGGATCCGATCATGGCTTGGAGGGCTCTTGCCTAGCCAGAGACAAGTCGAGGAAGCCGATGGTGGCGGCGATTGGAGACGCGATTGTGATGACCCGATGGGTTTCTGGCGATGGCGGCGCGACGAAGAACAGATTTTATGCGTGGGATGGATCGAAATCGGCGTGGCAAGGGATGGGCGGAGATGGGGACTACATGATCGAGGGCGTTTGCACCCAAATTGCCCCAGCAAATGCAAGTGAAGTATATGTTTCCAGCCTGACGAAGGGCGTGATCGATAATAGGTCTGTTTACAAGGGTATGGTAAGGTGGCAGAGCTGGGAGATATGGTGGGAGCTGGTAAATAGTGGGCATTTGGTATGTGCCTTCTAAAGTAAAAATATTTCAGTTGTAAAAAAATAAAAAGGTAATCTCTCAGCCGTAAGAAAATATTGTAAATAATAGGTAGGGTAAAAATCATAAAGGTTTTATAAGGCGTAAACACCAAGGCATTGGAGTTGCTTTTTAGGGTTTGTGAGCAGTGCGACAGGAGAGCGATGAGCGCCATGGAGGAGGACAAGGCGACGACGACCGCGAGCGAGGCTTCGTCCTCCAAGGCCGGCGCTGGCATCGATTACGCGGCGCTGGAGAGGGATATCAGCTCGCAGCGGGCAGTCGCGCTCCAGGTAATGCGATCTAGGGCTTGCCGGAGCACGGCTCACCGCGGATTCTCTCCTGGCTCGTGGCTTGTCGTGGCAGGATGGGAAGCTCAATGCCGCCATTGAGTCGCTGCTCAATCTGGAGAAGGGAATGAGACTCGCCGCGGATGTTCCTGGCACGCGCAAGGTCGTTGTGGCGATTGTGGAGCTCTGCTTCGAGACGAAATCTTGGAAGACGCTCAATGACCAGATTATGCTGCTGTCCAAGCGCCGGGGCCAGCTCAAACAAGTGAGTTCCTTCTTGCGAGAGAATTTTCCAAGTGACTACCAATTTTTTCTTTCCCAGGCTGTGACGTCGATGGTCCAACAAGCAATGCAGTACCTCGACAAGGCTCCTGACCAGGAAACGGAGGTGGAGCTCATCAAGACTCTGAACCTGGTGTGCGCTGGAAAGGTTTGTAGTGAACAAGATTGCAAGCTATGAGTTGCTACTTAGATCATTTTGTCCAGATCTATGTGGAGATAGAGAGAGCCAGATTGATTCGAAGACTGGCGACAATTAAAGAGGGCCAAGGACTGATTGCTGAGGCGGCAGAGCTGATGCAGGAAGTAGCGGTAAGCACATTCCAGCAAGATCATGTCTGGTCTGGTTAACCTGTTTGAAATTTAGGTGGAGACTTTTGGGGCAATGGCCAAAACGGAGAAGATAGCTTTCATACTGGAACAGGTAACAGCTCTCTTTCCATTTCTCTTTTCAGAAAAGAAAGAACTGACTATGCTGTATTTCAGATCAGGCTCTGTCTAGCCAAGCACGACTACATGCGGGCCCAAATACTTTCCAGAAAGATCAACCCTCGGGTGTTTGTTGCTGACTCGAAAGAAAAGAAGAAGAAAGAAGGAGACAACATCGTGGAGGAAGCCCCTGCTGACGTTCCCTCACTCCTGCAGTTGAAAAGAATGTACTACGAGCTAATGATTACGTGAGTACCACTATGTTTGTAACTCTTTTGGAATCTAATTTTTCTTCCTTGTAGGTTTTACTCACACAGCAACGACTACTTGGAAATTTGCCGATGCTATCAGAACATCTACGATACTCCCTCTGTGAAAGAGAATCCGTCAGATTGGATGCCCGTAAGTGTAGTAATGGACTTTGGATTTTCTGCGCTAACGTTTTTTTATGAACAGGCTTTGAGAAAGATATGTTGGTACCTGGTGTTGTCACCACATGATTCCATGCAATCTAGCTTGTTACACGCCACTCTCGAGGACAAGAAGCTAACTGATCTTCCTCAATTTCGGTACGCCTCCTATCCGGCACTTAAAAATTTTCATATTGTAGTTCCTCAGGTCTCTGCTGGAGAGTTTCGTGACCATGGAAGTTGTGAGCTGGGACCAGTTTTGGACCACTTACAAAAGTGAATTCGAGCTCGAGGCGACACTTCCGGGGGGCAAACTGGTGGACAAAGCATTGGAGGATCTGCGGCGCCGAGTAATCGAGCACGTAAGCGTCTAGCTTCCTCTCAGCTTTGTTTCTAACAAAAGTTTTGTGCAGAACATACTAGTTGTGTCGAAATACTACGCGAGAATCACCCTGACGCGGCTATCTCAGCTCCTGTGCTTGCCACTTGAGGTGAGCTTTGTGCTGCTAGGCTCAATCTCTGTCTCATCAATCTCGCTTTGTTTCGCTTCTTTAGGAGACGGAGACGTGCTTGTCGGAGATGGTAGTGTCGAAAGCTCTGGTTGCCAAAGTGGATCGGCCCGCGGGGATCATCTCTTTCCAGATGAACAGAGAAGGGAACGACGTGCTCAACTCGTGGGCCATCAACATCGAGAAGCTACTGGATTCGGTGGAGAAGAGCTGCCACAAGATTCACAAGGAGACGATGGTACACAAAGTGAGCTTGAAGGCTTAAAGAGAGACGTTTGTGTTCTCGAAATTTTTCACAACTAAACGAATGTTCTTGCTAATAAAAGGAGCCCTAGAGTATGATTAGAGATTGTCCTTGCTAAAGCTCGAGTGTGAAGACCATCCTAGTTCTTTTAGGGATGCTGGCGGTAAGATTGAGGTGGCTCGTGATCTTGGCGCTATGGCTCGACCAGGTAAACGCAATGCATTTCTTAGCTCCAATCGTGGCTGTGGTTCCCTGAAAATGATAGGCCGCTTCCATAGCGACCCCAAATTTTACACTCTACTACCCGAGGTTCTCTCAACTCGAGTGAAAGATGAATGTGGTTTTTGTGGTTATCGTCTTGCTTGCAGTGATGCGCTCTTGAGAGAACTGGATGCTTTGGTGGCTCGCCATCCTTCGACAATGAGTGTAGGTACTTCTCTCTCGCTTGTCGAAGCTCTACTTTTGCTACTACTGTGAGAACTTATTTATCTTATGTCGGCATTTGATTTTAAGTTGGAGGGGATCCAAGCGGATGCCTCCGACGGCTACAAAGCAGAGATTCGAGTTGTCACAGTGGCTGGCAGCGTTCAAGCATCGTCTTTCGACGATCGTGTGCGCATCTTTCTAGTAAGTGGCAATGAAATATCTTGCTGATTGTCAATAACTATCGAAGATCTAGAATTTTGGTCAGCATGGAAGGGAGCTGATCACGTCGGAGGTTGCACTGCGGCTGCTGCGAATTTTGAGCAGGGAGGACAAATCTGCAAGTAAGAAACATATAGATCGCATTCTTTCCAGAACTGTGTTCAAGGTGAATTCACGTTTTTTTCTTTGTTTCATTTTCTTGCCGGTAACTCGAGGTAGAGGTTTCACATCTTGTTTTACTCGTCCAGATTGTCCCGATGGAAAATGTTAATGGACGGCAAATTGTGGAGAACGGAAGCCTCTGCGAAAGAAGAAACGGTACGCGTTTAATAGCTTGCAGCCCAGGAGCAACAGGAGCAAAAGACTTATTACTTGTTTCTAGGCAGGGGTGTTGATACAAATCGAAACTGGAAAGTGAACTGGGGAGTGAAAGAAAAGGTGACGAACTCTCTGTTTCTCAAGCTTGCTTGTGCTGGACGAAGGCATTTTTCTTCGCAGGATTACGACCCAACCGAGGAGTTCCCGGGAACAGCTCCATTTAGCGAGCCAGAAACACGGATACTTCGAGACATTGCTCTGCGTTTTAAGCCTCATCTCTGGGTGAACGTTCACTCGGGGATGCAGGTAAGGATCCTCCAAGGAAAAACATTGCGGACTCTCAAAAAAGTTTTTCCTTCTCCTTTCTTCCAGGCTTTGTTCATGCCTTACGATCATAAGAACGCGACCCCGGGCTATCAGGCAGCTGCAAGAATGAGCTTCTTGTTGCAAACTCTAAACGCTCTACATTGCAACGGGAACTGCACAGTGGGCTCTGGAGGTGGTGCAGTCGGGTGAGGCTCGACCTTTTCTTTCTTTTCAAAGCTTTGTTCTTGATCTCTGGATGAATTTGCTCGCGCAGATACTTGGCACACGGAACTGCGACTGACTACATGTACGATGTATTGAAAGTGCCAAGCGCATTCACGTTTGAGGTAGACAATTCTCAACTCAAGTTGATCCATTTTCACGCTCTTCTTTTTGTCAGATTTACGGGGACGTGCATGCCAACCGCGACGATTGTTTTAGAATGTTCAATCCCACAACACCAGGCGCGTTTGAGGTAGCACACTACTCTCGTTTCTCTTTCCATATAACAAAACCAAAGCTTACAGAGCGTCGTCACGAGATGGTCTCTAGCATTCGTGACACTCGCGTTTAATCTCAGCAGCATGCCAAGCAAGGCCCTTGGAAGAAGCCGCAAGGTCGGAAGAACTCTGTGGGATTCCACCAGAGATGACGCGCAGAATCCGATTGTGTCAAGGGAGCTCCGCTTCTATTTACTTGCAACTGGCCTCATCCTGTGCTGCGTTTGTTACAAGCTAGTTAGTCGTCTGTGCCATTGCAGCCCGCTTAAATCACTAACCTGATACCAATTCTTCGCAAATACTCGTGTTGTCTACGCAAAGCTCGAGGAGTCAAAGGTGGACGATAGTCTTTAGTTCTATCACCTGCCGCAAGACAACACAAAGCAAACAGTGTGTGAGCCACAAGCTTGGAGCATGGCGAGAAAACAAATCTCACACCTGGGCTGCGAGTACACAGTGGTGAGTTTGGTGGAAAAGCCTCAGTCCTCGGCCGTGCCGTTCGCCTGGAGCACCTAATCAAAACTAATACTTTAACACACAAGAAAAAGTAAAGGAAGAACAACATCGAAAAGTCTCACCTTTTCCAAGTGTTGGCCTCATAAAATGAATTTCACCCTCCACACCCACCGCGAGCAATTGCACGTCGATCGATTCTTTAAACCTCGTCGCGAAATCCCACTCCAGCGCGAGGTAGCCGATGGGATTCCAGGCAGCTACCTGAGCAGTCACAGGCATTTAGAACCAAAACAATCAGGCCCTGGCTGTCTATAAGATTGGTCCATACCTCTCGCTGACGCTAGACACATCTCTCCACATCGGGCCCCGGGAAAATGGAGAATCTCCCACTCACGACCATCTTCAGCAGCTTCTTCACTGGGATCCGCTACCATCTCCAGCCATTCCCACTCGTCTCCAAATGCAAGAACCAGGCCAGGACGCACCACTCGATCGTCTCCAATTTCCTGGGCACGCTTGTTCTGGAGAAGAGCCCGTTCCCGTTCTTCATGCTCGTAGCTTTCGAGGCCGGAGGCTTCATACGAGCCCTCCTCCTGCTCCTGCTCTTTCCGCTCGTCTTCTTCCTCAGTCACTTCTTGTCGGCTGGATCATCCGTGAAGCTCATGATCTTCGTCACCTTCGCTGGCCTTAAGCTTTCCGACATCGAGCTCATTTCCCTGGGAGTGCTCTCCAAGTTCTACGGCGACAGGATCCGCGCCAGTAGCTACACAGTCTTCACGTCGTTTGGATTCCGCTGCATTGTCACGGAGTTGCCCCGGATCATGGTGGAGCCGTTTGCAAAACGCTACCTTGGAGCGGACATGATAGTAGGAACCGGAATCACGAGCTTCAGAGGTAGAGCTACGGGGTTCTGCGACTCGCATGGCGTCCTGGTCGGCGAAAAGAAGCTGGATGGCTTGACGAGAGCGCTCAAGGATATGGCTACTCCCAATGTAGGACTCGGCGATTCTCCTGCTGACTATCCCTTCATGGGCTTTTGCGAGGTGAGTAGTTTTTCTTCCTCCCAAAGATCTGGAAAAGTCTCCTTCCTTGCTGTGCTGTTTGCTGCCAGGAATCGTATCTAGTGCCGCTGGAAAACTCCACTGTTCTCCCACAGGACAAGCTCGCGTCACCAGTCATCTTCCACGACGGCCGTCTCGTCAAGCTTCCAACTCCGATCAACATGCTCCTCACATTCCTGTGGTTACCGATCGGATTCCCGCTGGCGCTCATCCGGATGGCCGCCGGATCACTGCTCCCAATGCGCGCCGTCTACCACGCATTCCTCCTGCTGGGCGTCCGCATCATCATCAGAGGCAAAATCCCATCCTCCAGAAAGCCCGCGATCGATCAGCAGCCCGGCGATCACGGTGTGATGTTTGTCTGCACTCACCGATCACTGCTCGACCCGATCTTCCTGTCCGCCGCGCTGGGCCGCCCGGTCACCGCCGTCACATACTCCATCTCCCGCCTCTCGGAGCTCCTGAGCCCTATCCCGACCGCGCGGCTGACCCGGGATCGAACCCGCGACGCGGCCAACATCCGCGAGCTGCTTCGAACCGGCGACCTGGCCGTGTGCCCAGAGGGCACCACGTGTCGCACGCCCTACCTCCTACGATTCAGCGCCCTGTTTGCCGAGCTGACGGACAGGATCGTCCCGGTGGCGATGGAGGCGGGAGTTTCGAATTTTCATGGCTCCGCCGCCAGAACCTGGAAGGGCGCCGATCCATTCTACTTCTTCATGAATCCCTCGCCCAGCTACACGGTGACGTTCCTGGATCAGATCCCCGCCGAGAAGACGTGCGCTGGGGGTGGAATCCCCGCGCACGACGTCGCGAATTACATCCAGGGATTGCTCGCCGCGGCACTGCGATTCCAATGCACGAGCCTGACGAGGAGAGACAAGTATCGAGCACTCACCGGCACGGATGGGATCGTCACAGCGGCGGTGCCGAGGTCGCGAAGCGCCATAGCCTAGGGCTGAGACGAGAGATCCACACAGGTCGGGGGTTCGAATCTATCTCACGCGCGCTTTCTTTTTGCGCCATGATGTAACGAAGTGGCACTTTGTGCTGTCTGGACGGATTCGAACCTGGGACCCCCGCGTGTCAGTGATAGTGATTTGACGTGGAGGGAAAGCTTTGTTTGCCAGTGAGAATAGCTATAGTGGACGATGAAGACGATGAGACACACGCACACCCGACTGGAATGGCCATCACATCCAAGAACCCTAAAACTGGCTGACTGACTGGACTGACCATGGAAGGAGAAATTTGAGAGAGAAGGAAGGCACGCCCAGCGCAGCGGCATTGTCTCGATCACCACCGACGTGGGTTTGTTCTGCTTTAGGTGGAAATCTTGCGAGAAATCGCTGGATTGAGAAAACTAAAATCTCACGAGTAATCAATCGCAAGAAGAAAGCTTTTTCTCTAGATTCATTCGTTTCTTCGCCGATCGATCGATCTCACATCGCTTACACACTCGAAAAGAAAGAAAAGCAACACAAAGAAAGAAAACCCTGGAGGCTTGCGGCACAAAAAAACTCGAGATGCCGCCATCAATCGATCAATCCGGGGGGAGCTGGACGCATCGCGGCTTGAGAGAAATCGAAGAGACGGCGCCGCTCAGCCTCTTGCAGAATTTCCTGGCGGAATGGCGGTGATGGTGGCGCTGATCGCCGTATTTGCACGAGACGAGCGACCACGCCGCGGCCTTGATCCTCTTGATGCTTCCCCGCAGTCGATCACACACGCTGAGCTTCCGGCGGAACTGGTAGCTGTGGAGATACAACTGGCGATCGTAGAAGTAGGAGCTGCCATAGCTGCTGCGTCGCGAGCATCGGCCGAGAACATCCGCGAGCTCTCCCTCCCGATCATCATCATCAAGATCGCCGCCGCCGCCTTCCTCTTCTTCCTCCTCTTCGTCTTCGCCTCCTCCCGGATTATCATCCTGGCCCGCCGAATCGCCGCCATGGCCGCCGCCGTCGCCCGCAAATGGATTCCCCACCGCCGCCTCCCAAGATTTCGAGCTCCGCCGGCTCCCGGAGCGCCGCGGCCGCAGCGATTGATCATAGCCGGGACACATTGCCGCCGTCGCGCCCGCGCTTCCGGTGCCCAAACAGAAACCAAGAAAAAAGAAAGAAATCCCAGCGCCCTGGCGCGCCCTGATCACTCCAGGAAACGGACCGACGAAAGATTTCCGCGCGATCGATCGGCGGAGTCGGCGGTGGCAGCGGCGAGAAAAGACGCTGGTGGCGCTAGGGCGCTGCTCGTCCGAGAGGAGATCATGCGCGGCGGTCAGCCATAGTTTCGGCTGAAAACATGTCTTGTGGTTTGGGCTTTTAAGGCCAGCCAGAACGGGTGACTTAAGTAAATGTCATTAACCGGCACTAACATGATAAAGGCGGGAGTTAGGGCAAAAGCGCATATACTTTTCTCATAGGCGAATATACTCTGGGACCAGATCGCATATACCTTCCTCATAGGCGAATATACTCGGGGCCAGTGCCACCTTGTGACGAATCCGCCAGGCTCGTGTAGACGCAAATCTCGTTGTGAAGCTCCCAGCCCCAGTCCGCGGTGCGCGATACCACCATCCTTGGCCAGTGATTGATCCTCACAAAATTACTCCTGGCGATGGAGTCGTGATCTTGGCCCTCGTCTTGGATGATGCTAAAGGTGCTCTCGTGCCCGCCCCAGACTGCGTCACCCGGCCCCGCGGTCTGGGAGCCATCGCTGTGGAAGAAGCGCTGCATTGGAGCCTCGCCCCGCCGGGAGGGATCCAGCTCCAGCCAGTACTGCGGCACAGTCTATAGACGAATTCACCGAGTGAGAGGAGAGATCGTTCCAACGTCGTGAATTTCTCGCTTACGTCTTTGAAGCGATACTCCCAGCCGTGTTGGCAAAGATCTTCCAGAGTTATGGAGCACTGCATTTGCGAAGTTTTGAGATCGAACAACGAAAACTTCTGACGAACTTGTCTTACCCGTTTCGAGTCCTTCATGGAGATCCCATAAGCGGCCACTTTGGATAAGCCGGGTAGCAGTGCCGCGGCAGGGATGTGTCTCTTCCCCTGCCATAAGCTTGCACACTACAAACACCAGGGAGTCAGTCCCAAGAAACCATTTTGACAACCCCGAAAGGAAACGAAGAACAAGACCAAAAGGCCAGACAGCCACAGTTACTTACTATTTCGCGTCGATCACGAGTAGAATAAGGGCTTGCAATCTACAAAGCCAGGCCACAGCAAAGAAAAAAAAGAAAGAACACCACCACAGCAAGCTTGAGAAGAGAGGAAACAAAGACTCGGAGTTTTGCTTACCTTTGACACCCAAAGAGCGTCCGAGTGTGCCAGAGTTTTCCAGTCTTTGGATGTTACTCCACATCGTGCCAAGCTGAGTGCATCAAGTCGGACCATCACCAAGTGCAGGATATCGGGGCCCAAGAGCTTGAAAGGATCCTCCACAGTAGCGCTTCTCGTCGATCTGGCCTGGAAGATAATCCTTGGAGGCAATTCCGGAAGCTGGAACTTAGAGGACGAGCTTGGCCCGGCGATTGCCATGGAGTGAGCACTCGACCGGCGATAGACCGACTTGATATCGTCCCAAAAGGGATGCTGTGCCGTGTGGTACCTCAGGCAATCCGAGAAATCCCGGGAGTGGAGCTTGCAAATCGTCTGGCGACCAATGCGAGGATGATACAAGACGCTCGTGGGGCTCGCGTATCCACCATCGTCCTTTCTTTCCACACTCTCCATCGATCTGGAAGAATTGGATCTAAATCTCTCCCCCCACCGCGTTCTAGGGTACAAGAATTAGCTTGTTCTCAAGCCAGCCGCTGGCGGCGTCAATGGGATGCCCCGGAAGAAGATCGCAGCCCAGAGCCAGTGGATTGTAAGGACACACGCTCCCTGCGCTTGGCTTATAAGCGGTGCCGATTGGCCGCTCCGTGGACGAATCGGAGCCGTGAGATCGCCCAAGAACAATCTTCTTGAAGCTTGACACTTGGCCACAGTGGAACAAGGTATCGCCTGCGCTGCCGAGTGCTCATAGGCCGCGCCCATAAAAAAAGTTTTGGACACCACCACTGTCACGACAATGCTCGATCCAGCCAACGAAAATTGTCACCGATCGCGAATCTCTAGATGGCTCCAGTGATCCGCCAGGGGCCACCGATCAATAAATCGTTTTCTTATCCCATAAATCTCGGGGGTTTTATAGGTCTAGAAGACTCTAGCGCGATCGCTCTTTAGTGCGATACATTCTATAGCATTGTCTAGGGTTGGAATGGCTTGGCCATGGCGCGCTTTCCATCGCATTCTTGCTCCTCTAGAGCGATCGATCTTGCCGGCAGGAGCTGGCCTTCCCTCACGGTACTGTGATCTAAACCCTATCAATGAGGATTGAATCTCGCGTAGCGGTCAGGTTCCAGAATGCCACGACCAGCGGCAGGCTGGATCGATCGTCCCACCGGCACTTCCATTCCGATGAAGCATCGGCGGCCAGGGTCTCTCTCAAATCCAGGAAGCTGGAGGAGGTTGTCATCGCGATCGGGGGGAATATCGGCGACCGGGTCAGGAATTTCGACACGGCGCTGAGGATGATGCGAAGCTCTGGAATCCAGATCAAGAAGCACGCCTGCCTGTACGAGACAGCGCCAATGCATTTGCTGGATCAGCCTCTCTTCCTCAACTCGGCCGTGACTGCCACAACGAGCCTGGATCCTCACGAGCTGCTGGTGGCCTTGAAGGAGATTGAGAGAAAGCTGGGGCGCAGCCAAGGTGGTGTCAAGTATGGACCGAGGCCGATCGATCTCGACATCATTTTCTACGGGGATTTGGAGCTCAGCTCGGAGAACTTGCGGGTTCCTCATCCTATGTTCTCTGGGAGGCCTTTCGTGCTGGCTCCGCTCCTCGATCTTCTTGGTCCGGAAGTGGAGGATAGCAGGCATTGGTCTTTGGTCCATCAAGTTCGGAGACACTGGAACGATATAGGTGGCGAAGGATGCGTCAAGAGAGAAGGGATGAAGAAGGTGCTTCCTGTGGGTGGAAAGCTTCTGGACTGGCAGGAGAGGACTTACGTGATGGGGGTTCTTAATGTCACTCCGGACAGCTTTAGCGATGGTGGCAAGTTCTTCACAGCTGACAAAGCAGTGAAGCAAGTCCAGGAAATGATCGAACAAGGAGCCGACTTCATAGATGTTGGAGCGCAATCGACAAGGCCAAATGCCGAGCGTCTTACCACTGAGGAGGAGCTTCGACGGATCGTGCCAGTGCTGGAGGGTCTGAAGAGCACACCGGACAGATCCAGGGTCGTGCTCTCGGTGGATACCTTCGACTCCAACGTTGCAAGAGCAGCTGTAGAGCTGGGTGCTGATCTGATAAACGATGTCTCGGGTGGCAGCTTGGATCCGAAGATGCTGGGGACAGTAGCCGAGCTGGGGGTTCCTTGTGTGCTAATGCATATGAGGGGCGATCCATGCACGATGCTGAGTGAAGCCAACACAAGTTACAGCGATCTACCACGAGACGTGGCCAGGGAACTCGCTGTGAGCATCGAACAAGCCGAGGTTGCTGGAGTTCCGGCATGGAAGATTATAGCTGACCCGGGGTTTGGATTCTCGAAGACCGCCGAGCAGAACGTGGAGCTGCTGGCGAGGCTTGATACGTTCAGATCCGGGCTGACGCAGGCGAGATTTGGGGTTGGAAGTATCCCGGTTCTGGCAGGGATCTCGAGGAAAGCTTTTCTTGGTCAGATCGTTGGCTGCTCCAGGGCCGAAGACCGGGACAATGCCACGATCGCTGCTGCTACGACAGCGATTTTAAAGGGTGCGAATGTTATAAGAGCCCACAACGTAAAAGCTGTTCGAGATGGCGCTATGGTGGCTGACTCGATCCGCAAAGTCCTGGCAAGCTAATCAAGTAAGCTCTTTTATATTTTTCTTTTGTACTAGTTTTGTTCTTGACGTTGACGTGTTTGAAGGGGCTGATTGAAGAAAAGATTCGAGTGCAAGGATGATGCAAATGATTCTTTCTAGGTGAACCAATTATCTCTGAAATCTCAAAGTTTTGCTAAATATTGTGTGTTCCAGCTGTTTGCAATACTTCAAGGCGGTGGCCTATGCAGTGAGAAATTATATTTATTTTAAATTAAATTTTTTTGATTTTCGAGCGAATGTTTTGGCAGGAGCAGCACCTGTAACATGGGAGGATTTTTCTACAAAATTAACATACAAAATTAATAGTACAGTGTAATTGTACAATTATACATGTGAAGCATCTGAACCGTCCATAAAAAATTATGCGATCTTAAAAGAGTATCTAATGTGTGGGGATTCCCTGGTGCAGATTCTGGACGGTGTAGGCGAGGAGGAGAAGAGGGGAAAAGGGGAAGGAGAACAATCTTTGCTTTGCTGAATTGGTATGAGCATCGATAAGTTCCCGCTCTAATGGAGTATTCTGGGTTAGTTCTAGATGAGGAGGACCCTCTTAACTCATGGCTAGAAGGTGGGGTGGATTTTGGAGCAGCCCACTCAGCTCTCTTTCAGAGCTATGGATTTGATCAGCCACAGGGTTTAAGGCCAGTTGCTCAGCAGCAGCAACAGCAGTATCAGCATCAGCATCAGCAGCAGCAGCAGCAGCAGCAGCAATTGTCTCTCGAGAAGCAAGACCAGATCCCGAGTTTGCTGTATGGGCTTCCGAATTTTGTCTCACAGCCGGATCAAGTTCACAGCAGTGTCAGTGACCTCCAGAAGAATTTAATCTGGGCTTTACAACGCATGAACTTGTCCACGAATGGACAAGTTCTGATCCAGGTCTGGATGCCTTACATGGAATCCAACACGGTGTTTCTAACCACCAAGGATCAGCCGTACGTGATGAGCAAGAGCTTTGACAAGTTCGTAAGGTACAGGAGCGCATCGGTGAAGTTCATTTTCCCCGTGAGGGATGGATTACAGGCATACCCAGGGCTTCCAGGGCGTGTTTTCATGAGCCAGGCGGCCGAGTGGACGCCCAATGTCCGGTTCTACAGCTGCCGTGAGTTCTTACGAGTCAAGGAGGCCGTTAACTGCGATGTCAAGGGTACTCTTGCATTGCCTGTGATGGAGGCCGGCTCTCGAGCCTGTGTGGCGGTTCTTGAAGTTGTGACGAGCATAGAGAAAGTTCAGTATGGGCCAGAAATCGACGACATCTCCAATGCTCTCCGGGTAAGCACCTCTCTCCTTTTTAATTTTTCTCCAAAATCTTTTTTTTTTTTCTGAGCTCGGCTTTGTTTTCTTGTATATGTAGGCTGTCAGCTTGGCCACCATCTCAAGTGCTGCTCCTATATCGGAGGTTTGTTTTTTCTTTACTGTGTTCCGTCACGTTTCTTAGTCACAGTCGATTGTAGATACGTGAGAATCGGCAATCCGCGTGGCTTGAAATCAACGAGGTGCTGATGACGGTGTGCAGGACTCATATCTTGCCACTAGCACAGGTGTGGATTCCAGTTTCGAGCAACGGTGTGGTGAAGTTGGTGACAAAAGGCGCTCCTTTCTACGGAGATAGCGGTTTCCGAAAGCCGTGCGCGGAGCATGTACTGCTCAAGGGACAGGGGCTTCCTGGCAAAGCGCTTCTTTCGATCCAGCCTGTTTTCAAAGAGGACGTCAGGAAATATAGCAAGGACGAGTATCCGCTGGGACACTATGCGCGGCTGTTCAATCTTGTGGCGGCCGTAGCAGTGAGATTCCGTAGCAATCTCACCGGTGGAGATGACTACATCTTTGAGTTCTTCTTGCCGTTGAGCTGCAACTCAGGTACCCAGCAGCAGGACTTGCTGGACTCGATGTCGAAAAGTCTCCAACGTGTTTCGAGAAGCTTGCGGACCGTCACACGTCAAGAGCTAGCATTAGAAGCACCTGGTGCGTTTTCCGGATCGCAGCAGCAGCAGCAGCAAGTTTTCAAGGCCGAGCTTCCAAAGCGGACGTACGAATCTTCTGAAGTGGAGTCCGAGATTGTAGAGGAGAGCAGTGTAACGTCGAGCAGCGTCACTGTTCGGAAAAAGGCCAAGCGTGGTGCGGCTGAGAAGATGGTGTCATTAAATGTTCTCCAGCAGTATTTCTCGGGGAGGTTGAAAGACGCAGCCAAGAGCATTGGAGGTACGCGCTTCGTTTGTCTCTGGCTGTTTTTTTCTTTTCTGAACTGCATTTGTTTGTTCGACAGTTTGTCCTACGACGCTGAAAAAGATCTGCAGACAACACGGGATTGACCGCTGGCCGTCACGCAAGCTCAAGAAGATTGATCGGCAAGTTAAGAAGATCCAAAACATGCTGAGCTCGGTACAAGGCTTGTCACCCGGCTCTACAGTGGTCAGCGTTGGAGGAGTGTCGTTTGGCGACGTGACTTCGTCAAGAAGTGGTGGTATAGCAGCAGCAGCAGCATTAGCAACGACAGCAGATTATCAAAAGCAGGCACACACCAAAAGCACAATCGAGCACGAAGTATCGTCATCGTCTCAGCTGCACAGGGACAAGTCGAGTTCTTCGCTGTCGAGCAACGATCACAGCCCGGCGGAGCTGGAGAGGACTCCAAATCGGGACGACTCCTCGCTCTTCACCGTCAAGGTGAGGCACGGAAGCGACACCGTGAGATTCAAGCTCCCGGTCGACCAGGCCGGAATCGCCGAGTTCCGCGAAGAGATCGCGACGAGGATGAATCTCCAAGGCCGGGAGTTTGGCCTCAAGTACATGGACGAGGACGGAGAGTGGATCCGGCTGGAAAACGAAGAAGAGTTTAGCGAGTGTATGGGTGTGGTCCGGCACTCGGATGGAAAGATGAAAGTCCTCCTAGTGTTATAGTAGTAGATCTCTCTTTGATTACGTTATCGCCAGCCAGAGAAAGGAAAATCTATCATATAGTTTCCAGCTTTGTGGGAATTTTCTGACTGAAGAATATTTGCTATGATCGATATTGACTTTTCCATGGTATGTACTTTTATGCTGAAAGTGATTAGAAGTTCCGAGACTGTCCACGCGTTGTCCAAGAGCGCGTACGGTAATGGGTCCGCCGCACGCCACCCATGCCGTACGTAGCTCCAAAGTTACAGCAAAATGTGAGTTGTTAGCGCGATTAATATGATGAAAAGCACGTAGTTGCCAATGTTGTCTGCTTGCCAACTACCGTCGTGTGATGCATCTCTGTCGTGACAGCCGTTGATGCGCTCGGGTGGTTAGATCGGGCGGTCCGCCTTGGCCGCGCTGCCGGCCGTTGGATTGGCGTCCCAGGCGGGCGGGTAAAATGGGCCAAGCTCCTTCTCGGCAGCTTCACTTTGTGGAGCCCTAATCAAAGCTCCCTCTCTCTCTCTCTTCGTCTCTCCAATATGGCGTGCTTGAAGCTTCTCCACCGCTAGGGCTCTTGCGTCGCGGCAAAGAATCACCGATCCGGCTGCTACGCGGAAGCGAGGAGATTTTGACGCGGCATCGAGCGGAGTTGCGTTACTCCACCACTCCAGTAGGTTCTTTCGATCTCTTGGATGATCTTTGTGAGGCGCTGCTCGTCTGATTGATCTCTCCAAGAACCATGGGGGAGAAAGCGTACCCGGCGTGGGCCAGGAGCGTAGAAGAATGTGCCAGGGATGTCGGGGTTGACCCCAGCAAGGGGCTGTCAGGGGAGGAGGTGATTGCCAGGCGCGAGAGGTATGGCTGGAACGAGCTCAAGCGCGAGCGCGGCAAGCCCCTGTGGAAGCTGGTGCTGGAGCAATTCGACGACACGCTGGTGAGGATTCTCCTCGGCGCGGCGGTGGTCTCCTTCCTCCTCACTTACATCGATGGGAAGAACAAGGGGGCCGAGTCGGAGCTCACAGCCTATGTGGAGCCGCTGGTGATCGTCATGATCCTCATCATCAACGCTGTGGTCGGGGTTTGGCAAGAGAGCAATGCCGAGCGAGCCCTGGAGGCGCTCAAGGAGATGCAGCCCGAGAATGCGAAGGTCTTGCGGGATGGCCAGCTTTTGGGCGATCTCCCGGCGAGGGAGCTGGTTCCAGGGGACGTGGTGGAGCTCAGAGTCGGGGACAAAGTTCCAGCGGACATGCGAATTGCAAGTCTCAAGACGTCGACGTTTCGGATCGAGCAGAGCTCGCTGACTGGCGAGAGCGTTCCAGTGATCAAGGGGCTCCAGGCGGTGGAGTCCGAGGATATAGAGCTCCAGGGGAAGGACTGCATGGTGTTCGCCGGGACGACGGTGGTGAATGGTTCGTGCTTTTGCATCGTGACTAGCACCGGGATGAACACCGAGATTGGGAAGATCCAGGCACAGATTCAAGAGGCGGCTCTGGAAGAGGACGACACGCCACTCAAGAAGAAGCTGGACGAGTTTGGCGAGCGCCTCACGTTTGTCATCGGGATGATCTGCCTGCTGGTGTGGGTCATCAACTACAAGTACTTCCTTTCGTGGGACGTCGTGGGAGGCTGGCCCCGCAACGTTCGTTTCTCTTTCGAGAAGTGCACGTACTACTTTGAGATCGCGGTGGCCTTGGCCGTGGCTGCCATACCGGAGGGGCTCCCGGCCGTGATCACCACCTCCCTCGCGCTGGGGACTCGCAAGATGGCTCAGAAAAACGCGATTGTTCGAAAGCTTCCCAGCGTCGAGACACTGGGCTGCACCACGGTGATCTGCTCGGACAAGACTGGGACGCTAACCACGAACCAGATGTCCGTTATGGAGTTTGCTGGGAATGGCGGATCCGCCGGAGAGGTGCGAGAGTTTAGTGTGGAAGGGACGACTTATAATCCAGACGATGGAGAGATTCTAGGACTGCCCGTAAGCATGGATAGAAACTTGCAGACTATTGCGCAAATCGCCGCGGTCTGCAATGACGCTGCCATTACGTACAAAGGTGGCCAGTTTCGGGCATCTGGCATGCCGACCGAAGCAGCTCTCAAGGTCAGGCTCTTTTCTCCGGAAGTTTTTGTCGGGACCTGGTGCTTACTGTGCTGATTTGCAGGTTTTAGTGGAGAAGATTGGGCTACCGGACGCGAAGGAATACGTCAAAATCGTCAACCAGCGGCAAAGAACGGACTATACGTCTGACAATGGTGCAGCAGTTAACTTAGGTGAGTTTTTCGTCCTGCTGAGCCGAGATTATTAATTCTAGTGTTTAAATCGTCGTGCAGGGTGTTGCGACTGGTGGTTTCGTAGAGTGAAGCGAGTTGCCGCACTTGAATTCGACCGTTACCGAAAATCTATGAGCGTGATCGTGCAAAACAGCTCCGGTCAAAGCACCTTGCTTGTGAAGGTGAGCGTTTTTTCAAGTGTGCGTTTGTTTCATTCGTATTAACTGGATGCGTTATAGGGTGCTGTGGAGAATGTTTTGGAGAGGTGTTCATTTATGCAGCTCATGGATGGTACCGTGGTGGAACTTGACAATGCATCTCGGGCTGCTATACTTTCCAAGCTTAATACGATGAGCTCGAAAGCACTACGCTGCCTGGGACTAGCATATAAAGACGATCTAGGCGAACTTAGCACGTACGACGGAGAGAGCCACCCGGCCCATAAGAAACTTCTCGACCCTTCAAACTATTCCGCCATCGAAAGTGATCTGGTTTATTGCGGGATGGTTGGTTTGCGAGTAAGTCTCTTTCTTACGCTTCGCTTGTTTCCTCTTTTAAACGTTCTTCCTCTAGGATCCACCACGGGACGAAGTAAAATCCGCTATGGACGATTGCAGGGAGGCTGGTATTCGTGTCATGGTCATTACAGGTGATAACAAAAACACTGCTGAGGCCATCTGCCGAGAAATCGGCGTCTTTTACAACGGTGAAAGCCTGGCGGGGAAGAGTTTCACCGGGAAGGATTTCATGGCATTATCTACTGAACAAAGATGCAAAGTGCTCTCAGGAAGCGGAGGACGGGTGTTTTCTAGAGCTGAACCCAGGCACAAGCAAGAGATAGTTCGGATGCTGAAGGACGCAGGTGAAGTCGTGGCTATGACTGGCGATGGAGTGAACGATGCTCCTGCGTTGAAGCTGGCCGATATTGGCATTGCTATGGGAATAACTGGAACAGAGGTACAAAAAAATCATTATCGGAACGTTCTATGTACTGACTGCAATCCACACAGGTAGCAAAAGAAGCTGCAGACATGGTGTTGGCAGACGATAACTTCAGCACGATTGTATCAGCCGTTGCAGAAGGTCGTTCAATCTACAACAACATGAAAGCTTTTATAAGGTAAAGTTCCTGCGTGGTTTGAGAATGTTGAAACGACGAGTGAAGCTGATTCTTTTCATCTGCTACCAGGTACATGATATCTTCCAATATCGGAGAAGTCGCTTCAATCTTCTTGACGGCTGCATTGGGAATGCCCGAAGGCCTGATCCCAGTCCAGCTTTTGTGGGTGAACCTCGTGACAGATGGTCCTCCAGCAACAGCTCTGGGCTTCAATCCACCCGACTTAGGCATCATGAAGAAACCTCCACGTAAAAGCAACGACAAGCTCATCAACGCTTGGGTGCTTCTCCGCTACATGGTAAAAAAATCATCTCTCTCGCGCTTGACTCTATAAAAACTCTTTTGTGTTGTTTCTACAGGTCATTGGACTCTACGTTGGTGTTGCCACCGTCGGCATCTTCGCCCTGTGGTACACCCATGACTCCTTCCTTGGAATCGACTTGTCGAGCGACGGTCACAGCCTGGTCACATTCTCCCAGCTCACGCACTGGGGAGAGTGCCCGACATGGGAAGGCTTCACAGTCGCTCCATTCACGGTAGGCTCGAGGATCTATTCCTTCGACAGCAACCCCTGTGACTACTTCGCGGCGGGTAAAGTCAAGGCGACGACGCTCTCGCTGTCCGTGCTGGTGGCCATCGAGATGTTTAACTCACTCAACGCGCTCTCGGAGGATGGGAGCCTGTTGGTGATGCCTCCATGGCGGAATCCGTGGCTGCTGGTTGCGATGGCAGCGTCGCTGGGCCTCCACTTCATCATTCTTTACGTCCCGCTCCTGGCACAGGTTTTCGGGATCGTGCCACTGAGCTGGAGGGAATGGCTACTGGTTTTGGTGGTGTCCCTCCCGGTGATCCTCATCGATGAAGTTCTCAAGTTTCTGGGCCGGAGGATGGCCGAGTCCGAGAGGACGAGGCGGAAGCTCAAGTTGGCTTGAGCTTGAGCTTCCTTTCGGGTGGCTGGACTGACCACCTCTTGTATACTCACTCCTCTACAGGCTTTGTCGATTGGAGAGAAGAATTCTTTTTTCAGTTTTCCTTCCAGCTTGAATCTATCGCTCTCTCAGGTGCGCTATATATTTACAGGTCTGATAGTTCCATAAGTATTTGTGACAGTACCTTTCAGCTCGTTTCTCCATCGGCTTCCACGTCCTGTGGGATGAGCTGCTGCTGGTTGAGCTTGAGATCCAGGCGGAGGAAGACGAGGCCATTAATGGTGAGGTTCCAGCGAGGGAAGCTATATCCCCGCTCGACGTACCACCCCGAGAAGAGGTCCGTGAAGGTGACGCAGTTCCCAGGCGCGTTCCCGGCTTGGATCTCCAGCGTCCCAGAGGCCTTGGTGTCGTAGCCTTGGGAGTAGTCCCGCTTCATGGCTATGGTATAGTCGAGCGAGTGGAGCGTCGTTGCCTCAACGTCTAGTGCCGGAGTTTCTGACGATGGATGGAGCGCCAACTTTATGCTGCAGCTGCGCTGGTGGTTGAACGCCGTCCGGATCTGTGCCTCGAGGCTGAAAGTGTAGCGGTCGAGGAAGAACGGCTTGGAGTGGAAGCTCTCGCCGGTACAAATCACCATCTCCAGTGGGAACTCGAAGTAGACCTGGCAGCTCACCGCGGTCTCCTTAGAGACGAAGGTCTTGGAGCTCCCCCAGAAGTTTTCGAAGATGGCGTTGTTCCGGGGGCGGTATCTGTTGTGGTTGGTCTTCTTCCAGATGATCTCCTGCTGCCTCGGATGCGTCAAGCTCTTGAACTTGAGCGCCTCCATGATCAGTCCCTGGCCAGTGCTGCTTTGCATCTCGGGGCACACCGCCACAACGTCGACGAGGAAGTCTCCAGTCATCCAGGGGAACCGGATCACTCCTCCAATCTGCTCGGCGGCGTGGAGCTTGTCGTCAAGGCTCCGGAAGTTTGCCTCGAGCCACTCGAGAAGGAAGTGGAACACCTCTTCCTCGTACGAGACGGCGAGAGTGTCGCTGTCGAGGACGATCTTCACTCCCTCCATGTTGAGCGCGAAGAACTGGGACTTTTTGGCGGGGATGCTCTGGAACTGCTGCGCGAGGTAGCTCCGGCACTGCTCCACGACCGGGTGGAGGGCCTTGTCCGACTTGAGCGACTCGGGGAGGCCGAGGATAAGGAGGCAGTCGCTTAAGCTGCTGGGGAACTTGTTGAGCACGTCGGCCAGTGGTTTCATGCACGACGAGATTGCGAAGCGGTCGGCGAGAGTGAGGAGGATGATTGTGCTGTCCGCGTCCGGAGGCTCCATCAAGCGTCCCGTGTACATGTACTGGATGAGATGGAGCAGTCCTCGACGCTCTGCGAGGAAAAGAAGAAATAGTTAGTAGACACTAGCTAGCTCGCCATAGCTAACTGATGGTACTTTGCTATCGAAGTAGCAAGAACGTCGCTGTCTATTCAAAGAGCTTCTTTTGTTTTCATCTCGAGTTTCTATCCGAGAAAGGATCATTCAGAGAAGAAAAAGAATAATTTTGCAAGGAAAGAGAACCTTAACGACGAGAAGAAATCAAGCTTTCCACCAAGAACACAACGAACAAGTGAAAAGAACGGGGAAATCACGAGCACCACAAGGATGTCTTTTGTTTTCATCTCGAGTTTCTATGCCAAGCGAAAAAGATTTGCAGGGAACGAGAACCTTAAGAAGATCAAGTTTTCCAAGTAAACAAGAAGAAAAATAAGGAACATTGCGAGCACCAAGGAGAGGAAAGGAAATATAAAAAGTGAGAGCTGAGTACCTTCTTCCGTGACCTTGACAGTAGCAACCCCAGTGCTGGATTCGCTCATCCCATTGGAGTAGAGCTTCATAAAATAATCCGAGTGCGCAGCTAGCAGCATGGAGCTCACATGTAACTTCTCCACTACTCTGCCGCAGCTCCCATCCACCATAGCCTGTGAGGAACAAAGCAAGAAAGAGGGCAAAATCGATCCAATCCAACTCCAATCCCGCTTCTTACCTGCGCTTCATCGGTCGGCGATGGCACCACCTCCAGATGAAGAATCCTGTCCGCGAACAATGCATTGTTGTAGGCAAAATCGAAGCGCACCATCATCGCCTCGCGCGATCGCTCGCCCCGCTGCCCCTGCCCTAAAAATCTCCACTGGTTGACGTGGTCACTAGATCTTCTCCACGTGGCAAACCGCTAGTTATTTGAAAAGAAGGGCTCTCTCTTGGATTGATTTTGAGCTACCTAGAAGATGGAAGCGCCGATCATAGAATAGAGAAAAAAAGAAGGACCGTGATCGCGAATCTCTGCCAACGCGATCGCATCGGTTGCCCCTTGCTCCGGCTAAGTTGCGCGAGGCTGTTCCAAGCACAAATCCCAATCTTAGAGCAAAGAATTCCAATCATACAATAGGAGCTCACCTCCCAATGTAGATGCATCGATTGTAGCCTGCCAAGAGAGACATGAAAGTCAGACACGAATCGCCCAAAAAGAAGAGAGTGTAATCTCGAGAGAACTCACTTGGATCCATGGTCGTGATCACAGACACGCCATTGAACTGACACGCATTGGGGCTCATCCCATTGAGCTGGAAGTAGGCATTGAACACATACGACGCGTGCGACGCCACGGTATCCGGCTGGTAGCACCGCCCGCCCGGCTGCACGGGCGAGCAATCCACCTGCTGCTGCCCACACACCCAATCCAGATTCGCCTGGAGCGTGTTGAAGTTCCCGTTGGCGGCGGCGATGCAAAACGTCCGGTTGAGCTCGATGACCCCGGGGGAGTTCCCAGCGGCGCCGCCAGCGCCACCACCGGTCCCGCCCCCGGCATAGCCCCCGAATCCCCCGATGGAGTAGAACTTGGATCCGTCGGGGCGGAAGAGACCCCAGTTGCGGTTGGCGGTGGGTCCTGGCCGTTGATTCTCGTTGAAGAGCTCGAAGATATAGACGTCCGTGATCTGCCCAGGCCGGAATGGCGTGCCCTGCCCCGACATGGCCACCCGGAGGACATTGTTGTTGTACGTGGCGGCGTTCTGGAGGTTGACGATGCGCGTCTCGCCAGCGCCGCCCATGGAGGGCCACCCGGTCTCCGTGACCACGATGGCGAGGCTGCGGTGGCCCATGGCGGCCAGCGCGTAGAACGCCGCGTCGAGCTGCGCGGAGAGGAGATCGCCGTAGTGGAGGCCTGAGCCTGGGTCCGTGAAGCCGGCGGCGCTGGGCTGGAGCAGCGCGAAGTCGAGCGCGGTGGTGGCGGCGGAGTTGCGGTAGGCGTAGTAGGGGTAGGCGTTGAGCATGAAGAAGGAGCCGGTGTTGGCGATGAAGTCGAGGATGGGGGAGAGCAGCGGCGCGAAGCGGGCGTCGAAGGTGGCGGAGGAGGGCGGGAAGGAGTTTGCGATGACGCCCATGGCGTGCGGCGTGGAGATCTTGATGGAGCGGTCCAGCGCCGCGTTCTGGAGCGCGGTGTAGAGGTTCTGCATGGCGGAGAGGAGGTAGGCGTCGTCGTCGGTGGCGGCGGTGAGGACCTCGGAGCCGGCGGCGATGGCGGTGATGCGGGTGGCGGGGAGGTGGGGGAGGAGATTGGTGGCGACCCAGGCGGTGGCGGAGGACTGGGACTGGGCGATGCCTTGGAGCTCCGTGTTGGGGACGCCCACCATCACGTCGATGTTGGAGTTTGCGAGCGCGGTGAGGGCGTCGGCGTCCGGGGAGAAGAGGCGGACCTTGGAGATGCCTTGCGATTGCATCAATTGGACGGCCTTTTGCGGCGAGGGGAGATTGTCCGCCATGCGCCCGTAGCACACACCGATCGCGGCATCTGCGGAGATCATTCAATCAATCAATCCATCGCACAGCTGCGAGACAACAGGGGATCTCTTGCGGGAATGGAATTGGGCGAGGTGGGCGATGGAGATCTTAGCCAATTCCACGACCCATTTGCGGAGAGGATGGAGGGGAGGGAGAATGCGAGCGGGATTAGAGCGCGGTACCTGCGGTTTTGCGGCCGAGGAACGCCATAGCCAGTGCTCCGAGGAAGACAACGGGGAGGAGCAGTCTTGGTCTTGGCTCCATCGTACAGCAATCCATCATCCCTCCTCGTCGTTCGAGCCCCCTGTTCCTTCACATTTGATGCCCTGACCGATCGAGGAATGGAAATGGGTTTTTTCTAGATCGGATCGATCAAATCAATGAAGAAGATGCCCGTTGGACCCAATCCAGCAGCTAAGACCCAATCCACGCTCGAAGCGAAGCGAGAGCGATGAGCATTGCGAGGACGATGACCTCAGATCCGAGACAAGATCAACCATGATCATGCCGGAGGATAGAAGATCTGGAGCCTAGAATCGCTGGGGCAAGAGCGAACAACAGTCGATTTCTCTGTTGCTTGTGATTTGAAAGAACGTAGCAGAGGGCAGAGGACACTGATTCACTGATGCTGGCCAGCTGTTTGAAGAAATCGTTTGGAGTTGTGATCTTGGCATTTAAGACACATCCATATTTTTTTCTTCTTCTTTCCTTGCTCTCCTTTCTTTCTCTCAAGAGTGTTCTTCCCCTTCCTTTTACTACTGTTTGTTTGTCTCTGTTTGGAAAGCTTTGGTGTCTCCATCACTCCAACATAATCCAAGCATTAGATGACACAAACGTGATTTATTTACACCAAATCGCGACCACTTGTTTACATTTTCTCGAGAAATTTTTTTTTCCAGTCGCTCGGCACCACGATGTCGCGGCAGAGATCTAGGCAGTGGCATCCAAGGGTCCTATTTAAACAAAGCCCGTAAGAAGTATTCGTTTGAGCTTGTCGATTTTCAGCCACTTGTCCAATCTGATGCACACAGCTCTCCTGCTTGCTGGTGGCTCGAGCTTGTCATCGATTGATGCTTGGTATTTCATGCAACATAGATTCCATACATTCGAATTGAACATTCTGGGTAGCATATTTATTTTTCCAGGAATAAACTAGCAAAAGGCATCCAACGTAGAGCTACGCTGGACCAATGAAAATGTTTTACCTAGAATCATCATCAACATAAAAAGAACTCGAGATGAATTAGAATAATATGATTGAGTGCACAAAGAGAGTATCAGACAAATCAAATGTAATATTGCAAAAAAAGACATCAGCTAAAAGAAAAAACAAAGAAGAAATGGACTAAACCACTAGCCATTGTTACATCAGTTCAAGGTACAGAAATGTTAGTCCATAGTTATCAACCAAAAAGAATTGTGCTAAGCTAAAAAAAATATGCTATAATTATTATGTATACAGATGCAAATAGTGTAGTGCTAAAGCAGCAATAGAGAATACACCATGCTAGCATTAAAAAGCATGCAAAAACTCAAAATTGCATGTCTAATTCCATGCCAAATAGAAACCACAAGCTTTGATAAAATTTAATTTAATGTTATAAAGAACTTTGAATGCACCAATATGATTGTATAAACATAATTGAAACACATAAAAAGCTTAAATGACCAAATGGTAAAATAATCTTATTAAACTATGACCTTAACTAGAGCACTTCATTTATACTGGTGCTTTCATAAATGATGTGCCCACACAATCCTCCTTGGGCTTCAGCTTTTTAAGTAGAAGGAATGTAGTTGAAAGACATGATCACCACTTTGGAAATTAAAGGACAGTAATCCACATTCCTTTATCATCTGTAAGGGCAAAATAGAAGAATTGCCAGCAGCAACCCCCCAAGCAACGCCCCATTGGTATGACACTTTGAAACACCAAGTGTTTCTCTGTTTATCTAGAGCAAGTTGGCTGGATATTTCAAATTTACCATGGCTATATCTCAGTCTAGCATCAGCTAACATGGAGAATGAGATGCTGGAATGCCACCTCTAGAAAGAAGTGGTGGAAAGGCTATATTCTGTCCTTTGCTCTTTCTTGCAGAGGCTTGACATTTTCCATGAGCTTGTTCATTAGAGATTGATAGAATGGTTTTTAAAGGCTTCAAAATATGAAGGAAGTTAGTTGGTTTCTCTAGGTTTTTAGCTGTTTAGTGTCTTGTTTTAATTGAACTTGAGTTATTCAATATACAGAAAGGTTAGTCCATAGTTCCAAGAAGCTTATAGAGTGATTTAGTTTGGGATGACTTTTGGCTTCTACATTTATGAAGGTTGGTGAAGGTGGATGAAAATATTTACTTGCTGGAATGCAAAGAATATCTTCAGAAGCCACTCTAACTCATTTATCTGGAAGTAAAAACAATACATATGCTCATAAGTTTTAAAAAATAAAAGGCCTATAAAAGCTTGGGAATTCTTCAGATGGACCTTAAAGAAATTCTATCAAAAATTCAATTAAAAATTATGGTTTTGTCAAAATGAAATTCATGAGATCTTATTTAACTCAGAATTCAAGATTAGAAGAATTCAATTTAGAATTGCATGATGAAATTAAAATTCATGATTCAATTAGAATTAGAATTCAATCATTCATGATGATGATTGTTTGTTAAAATTCTTTGTCAAATTAATCAAGTCAAATTAATTGAGCTCAGACACCCTGAGATCCCAAGCTCATGTAGGTTGGGCACCTTGAGTTTTGTCAATGCATGGTCATCACATTCACCATGCATTCACGGCCCCAAACAAGGAGATAAACTAGTTCACTGATTTGGCCAATTAGGCACCTAAGCTCAAGCACTTGGACATCCAAGGCTTCCATTAGAGCCTCTTGATCTAGACACAAGTTCAACAAGTCAATTAATTAGGGTGAAAAGAGAAGTGGAAAAACAAAAACTACTACCTAAGTGTTCTCTACTATAACATTGCTCTAGCACCATGAGCTTGGATTGTTGCCTATGATCTTAACAAACCAATTAGTCATACTAATATGAAAAAGAAGATGTAAAAAAAAAAAAACTCATCTGATCAGTGCTCCATAGATTGCTTGTGATCTAAACAAACTAATTAATCTTGCACATAGAAGAAGAAGACAAAAAAAACTCACATGATCAATGCTCCATGAGCTTGGATCATTGCCTGCAATCCATCTTGCAAACAAACGAATGGAAAAAAAAAACAGATATAAGCCAAGCCCCATTACTCATACTCATACAAGCCTTTTGTGACCATGAATCCCTCACTCTCAAATCTCTCAAGGCCTTGATCATGGTAAGATCTTGTGGGGATGCTAGTGCCATTGCTAAATCTATTATCACCACAGTCACAACCATATTTATTGCTAAGTTGCCAAGATCTAGCATCACCAGCCACTAAAACCCTAAACTTAAACCTTGAAGTCAATATCATTTTTCTTCTCATGTCTTGTGTGGAGGAATACCAACACCTCACCAAGTGCATCTCATAAGCTTCTCAATCTGGTTGAGAATTACACTTTACCTAAAAAATTTAGGTTTAAACTCCAATTTTTATAACCTTCAACAAAAACATTTCAGTTACATTAAGAATGAAAGCTTAGAAGTGGGAATTTTAGTTTATAAAAGGCCATATGATATATTTATAAATCACACTTATCATATTATCCACTTCATTGCTTAAGGAACATGGCAGTATAAAATGTTACTTTATTTATATATTTGGGGTATAATTCCAAAATCTGTGTAATTATAAAAATTTCTTCTCTAGAAAAAATACTAATTTCTTACTTACTGCATTCTTGTTAAAGTAAAAGTTTATGATATAAATTGCAAATACTTTGTCCTTTTAGAGAATCCTATATAACCCTCACAGCTTGCCTCTTCCCATTAGCTACTGTTTTGTTACTCTAAAAGAAGATGAAAAAGAAAAAGAGTTTTCTAAGCTCACATAGCTTTTATACATGTTTAAAAGAATGTAATGTCTCTTTCAAACACACCCTTAACAACTTATTCATGAATTTATAAGCAAAGTGAATGATTTAAGAGATGATCCACTAGAGTTCAAATATATAAGGAATGGGCTTATAAATAAAAATGCACTTCATTTTTCAACTAGTTAAGTGTTTTAAGATAATTATGAATAATAACTATGCTAGGTAACCTAAATTTAAGATTAGTATTAGAGAAGTATCAGGTTCAAATTACACTATATATTGAAATTGATATTTAATGGTTCCATTTGGTCTAGCCACATGTTGAAATTGGTATTTGAATTCAATTTGGTCTAGAATTGACATTTTGCAATTCAATTTAGTCCAACAACTTATAAATAACTTAATTGACAATTTATTAGAGTTCAAATATAAAGGGATGAACAAGAATGCATCCTTTTTTTCAATTGGTTAAGAGTTTTGGGGTACATAGGTGAGTTCCAAGAAAGTCTAAATTTAAAATTTTATAAAATTCCTTTTACAAAAGAACTAAATTGCTACCTTTACTAAATCTATAGCATTAAAGTGTATAAACTACATTTAGAAGCTTTTCTTTTTTGAATAACCTTATTTAAGGTTTAATCGGTTATATAGAATCTCTAAAAGAAAAGTAAAATGATTGCATATTGCATATAACAACACTTGGTTTTCTTAATAGTAGTGTTTATTATTTAATACTCCAAATGATCAGATAGAACCTCATAATTATAAAAATGTTTATAATTTAATTGTAGAATAAACAGGATATATTTAGGAAATTTTATAAATTATAAATAAAACATTAATATAAATGACTGTTAGATTGTAAAATATCCTATAATATCCACTACCATCCCAGTATTTGCTTAAAGACAGCAATAATAAAAAAGAAAAGGATGCTAGTGGATATACCTAAAATATATTTGGATATTATTAAAATTTAAGTTAAAATTTAATTTAAACTTTTCTAATTTTAAATTACCAAAGTGTATTAACTACATAAGTTAAAAGTTTAATCATATTTTAATAAAATAAATTTAAGTATAATTATTTTTTGGCTTATATGATAAATATTAAATCCTTTATGATTTTTTAATAAAATATATATAAACTATAAGAAGTACATAAATTATTAAATGATATATAATACATAAATAGATAATAATATAAATTAGAAAATTTTAATTATTTCATAAAGAAAAAACTGAAGCTAGAAAAATAATAGTAAAAATTGATATTGTGAACCAAATTTTAATAAAACTTAAGAAACTAAGTAAAATATTTTGTTTGTGTGATATCATTGCACAAAGACTTTTTTAGTAGATTTGAAGTGATATGTGTAGAATTAGTTAGATTGCACCATTTGGTAAGAACATTGTATGCATGTTTAGTCACTGATGGAGATATGTATGCAATTGGCAAAATGGTGGAAAGAAACTGTATTGATGACGTTGAAACCTTTAAATGGGCGAATCGAGAAGAGGAAACTCTTGCTAGAGATGCTATAGAAGAGGCTAAAGCTAAGTCAGAGGATGAAGAGTCTGATGCTACGGCACTACAACGTATGGCTCAAAAAGTTGAGATCGAGAATTTGTGAAAGAAAGTTTGCAAATTGAAGAAGAAGAACAAAAGGAGAAAAAAAGAAGCTGAGGCAACTAAACCAACTAAACTTAAGCAACTAGATTCTTTTTCAAGTTCTGAAGACAATAAAGTTTTGCAACCACCCCCAGTTGCACAAGTTACAAAGTTCAAGCCTCCGAAACCACCTAATTTCAGAGGCATGCGGGACTATCAGGTTTTGGAAGGTTGGGTTTACGATATAGAAACTATTTCATAGCAGTAGACGTAGATAATCATATGAAACTTACATGCATGCAATCTTTTCTCACTGATCATGCCAAAACTTGGTAGTGCTAGGTGTGTGCTGAAAAAGGGTAAACTAAAAGTTGGACCAAGATGCAGTCTTGTATTCATAAGGAATACTTGCCAGATGATCTTAGTCTAAGACTTCGCGCAGAGCTGCGGCAATTGAAGTAACGAGGGGACTTTATGCATTATGTTAATACGTTTGCTCAAAAGCACATTATGATT